TGCTCAATCAACACCTCCTCTTGCCACTACCAGAATTTACATATATTATATCATAGGCTTATAGATGTGGTGATTTATTGTGCAGCAAATGGAAGGGATGTATTGTCAGCCACTGCCGTGGTGGAGTAGTTAAAGGTGGGTGCATCACTAATGAAGTTTCCTGTTAATTTTCACTATCTTGTGTGCTATTTCAACCCCATTCCATTTGACCACATTTTGACTGACAGTATCGTTTTGCAGTAACTTTTGTAATAAATAAAATGTGAAGTCCTTCAATTTAGTTTTCTTACCTTAAGTAAAACATCTGCAGAATCCAAGGTAACATAGCACAGTACTGTGTTTTGCCACTGTTTACCCCCTACTGTATGTGTGGGTATTTTGGGGGTGGTGTTGGAGAAGAACACTTCAATTAAGAGGGATTTCCTAAAAACTTGAAATTATGGGAGAAGCCTGTTTTGTGACACTGTATTTGTAATACTGTTTTCTTGTAAATGTTTTAAATAATTTGTGGAAATTAAAAAAATGTCCATATTAATTCTGACACCATGCGGATATTGTAGCAGCAAGAAAGCACCTTACAAACTACCAAGGTATGACATAACACTCTATGTTAGTAAAATGAAAATCAGCTGAATGCTTACATATCTTACACTAAGGTTGTGCACAGAATATATTTTTTGCTTTAGATTGTACGTTGGTTTTGGATAACATCAGATTCAAAAAAATCTGGTTTCAGATGTCTTCCTAGTAACGCCAATGCACAGGTAACTAATGGCTGTGAATGTACACCTTGCTGGAGGTGTATAAAATCTGATTTACGGCACCTGTTTTTAAGGTGAGATATTTAAGGAGTGGTTTTTACTAGTGCCGCCCCCTCCATGTGTTTCCATGGCCAAGGTGGGATTTGAACTCAGGCCACCTGAGTCCAGTCTCTTATAAAGTCTGCCATGTTTCAGATAAATAGAGAGCATTTTGTGCTATGCAGCTTAAAGTTGATGGGAGATAACAATACGGCAGATCTTGTCACTTCTATCACTGCTTCTTTAGCCAACATGAATTGTGATACTTTCTTGCTTCATCCCTCATGGAATGGGCTGAGCAGGCAGCTTGTGGTCTGAAGCACAGGGGAGAATCTAAACCCATTGTTTTGGGGAAAAGTGTCACCCCCAGTGGAAATAAAAAGTGTACACTAGTATGCTATATATTTGAAATATTTATACTCTGTGTTGTATCAAAAGATCTCTGAGTAGGTTACAATTTTAAAAATATTAATTTAACAATTTAAAACTATAATTTTAAAAATAATACCATTTACAAATGCATACATAACTTCACAACCTACCGCTTTTTTCTGTTTATAAGACGACACCCCCTTTTCTAACCCCCAAATTAGAAAGTTTGCACACTCACACCCCTTTGATCCTGCCACCCTTTCATGGCTGCTTTACTCTGTAGCTTTGCAAAAGGCAGGGAAAGCGGCTGCCTGCCCTGTATAAGACGACCCTCAATTTTTGGTCCAATTATTTAAGCAAAAAGTCTTGTTTTATACATGGAAAAATACGATATATCTTTTTCAAATTCTACATTCATAGGTGTACTTGATCCTTTACATTCCTCCATATTATATTGCTTTAATAGTTTTAATATCTTTTTCTTTTGAGCTATCTTAAATCCTTTTTCACATTTCTCAATTTCTACACCTAAATAATTACTTATCTGACCTAGGTCTCTCAAATTATAATTTTGTTTCAACATTTCAACAACTGACTCTGCTGTTTCTTCATCCTTTGCAAATATAGCTAAATCATTTACAAAAATAAGTATTGTTTGTTCACTTTCTTTCGTAAATAAACATGGATCTGCTATACCGTTTGAATCCATTATTTTTTAAAGGTTGTATATTGTCTCCCTGCTTATTTAACTTATATAAAGAATACATCATGCAAAAGGCTGGACTGGATGAATCCCAAACCGGAATTAAGATTGCCGGGAGAAATATCAACTACCTCAGATATGCAGATGATACCACTCTGATGGCAAAAAGTGAGGAGGACTTAAAGAACCTCTTAATGGGGGTGAAAGAGGAGAGTGCAAAAAGTGGTCTGAAGCTCAACATCAAAAAAACTAAGATCATGGCCACTAGTCCTATTACTTCCTGGCAAATAGAAGGGGAAGATATGGAGGCAGTGGCAGATTTTACTCTCTTGGGCTCCATGATCACTGCAGATGGGGACAGCAGCCACGAAACAAAAAAACGCCTGTTTCTTGATAGGAAAACCATTACAAACCTAGACAGCATCTTAAAAAGTAGAGACATCACCTTGCCGACAAAGGTCTGCATAGTCAAAGCTATGGTTTTTCCAGTAGTGATGTATGGAAGTGAGAGCTGGACCATAAAGAAAGCTGACCGCCGAAGAATTGATGCTTTTGAATTGTGGTGCTGGAGGATACTCTTGAGAGTCCCCTGGACTGCAAGGAGAACAAACCTATCCGTTCTGAAGGAAATCAACCCTGAGTGCTCACTGGAAGGACAGATCCTGAAGCTGAGGCTCCAATATTTTGGTCATCTCATGAGAAGAGAAGACTCCCTGGAAAAGACCCTGATGTTAGGAAAGTGTGAAGGCAAGAGGAGAAGGGGACGACAGAGGACGAGATGGTTGGACAGTGTCATCAAAGCTACCAACATGAATTTGACCCAACCCCTGGAGGCAGTGGCAGACAGGAGGGCCTGGCGTGCTCTGGTCCATGGGGTCATGAAGAGTCGGACACAATTAAATGACTAAACAACAACAACAAAATGAGACAAACCTCGGTGTTTTTGCTGTCATGCTGACTGACTATGGTAGGTGTTTTTCTGTATCCTCGGTTAAATGTTGTTTAATGGGCTTTTAAAAGAATGACATATTAACATTAAACATTTTGAAAAAAGATACAACACTCTTTCTTCATCCTCAACAGTACTTTATTAGGTTTTATGCCACAAGAGAGAGAGAATTTCACAAAGGTCAGCTACTTGGCATTCAGCCTAACATCTCTCCCAGGAGCCCTTCAAGCTTCAGCAACTCTTAGGCTTCTTTATTCCAATCTCTGCCTCCTGTGTGAAAGCAAAGGAATTCAGCTCCTTTTCCAGTAAGCTCATTTGAGCAGTAATCTTACTGAAAGCATTTTTGATGGCAGTTTGATGAAGCTTCAGTTTATTGTTCTCCTCCCAAAGTATTTTGTTCCCTCCCTGAACAGCTTGAAGCTCCTCTTTTTCTTCCAGAAGCGCACTGTTTTCCTTTAAGAGGTATAGTACAGTTTGATGCAGTTTCTGGACAGCTTCAAGTGCCTCATTTTCCTCCAAGGGCGATATGGACATCTTCATTTCCTTCCTTGGCACTGTGTTGTTCTCTTCCTGAACAGGTTTTTCTGCCTCAGGTATTCATTTCCTTCCTCGGCACTGTGTTGTTCGCTTCCTGAACAGGTTTTTCTGCCTCAGGTAGTGCAGGCTTATTGTTAGTTTCGGAGACTACAGTCTCTTTAGCATCCTGGGGTGTGGCATCTTCCTTCCCCAATAACTGTGCAGGTTGTTTTTCACATTGGATTACTGGAGTTTGTCTCTTTACTTCTGGGAAGACTTTCAAAGCCATATTCTTTTCCCGAAAGATTTGAAGGGCTTTGTTTTCTATACCATCTTGGAGTCCTGTTAGGACTGGAAGGGCTGATAAAGGTTTGTTTTCTTGCTGAAGGACTTGCTGGAGGCTCTCATCATAGATAACTTGTATGCCCTTGTTCTCCATCCGCAGGCACTGGAGTGCCTTATTTTCTTCGCGGAGAACGCGGTTTTCCATCCGGAGGGCCTTGTTCTCTTCCCAGAGGGCCTTGTTCTCTTCCCAGAGGGTCCAGTCATTATGGACCTTCTTATTGGTATGTTTTCTGTGGGCCTCTGCTGTGGAGGAAAGTGCTGACTGAACACATGTCTCATTCACCCACTTGCCATCTAGGAAGATAAAGGTGTCATCACTGAGCTTGACCCTTGGTGGGATGTAATCCATCTCCACATTCCACCAGTTGCACGTATTAGTTCAAAAGAAGAACCAAGGGTCTGGATGACTGCATGGAAGCAAAGCAATAAACAACATTAAGCAATATTCTCCAGAGTGTAAAAGTGCCATTAGCTATAAGCAATATGGAACTTTAAAAATAATATTGTTAAAACAATAGACCAGGAATCAAAATGCATTGAAACAATCAGGAAATTAGGAAGACCACAGTAAGAAGGTGTTTGAATGCACTATTTTAAAATTATTGCATGGAATCTCCCATACCTATAGGAGCATGCATTTAAGTATGGCTGATATATGGTGTTCAATATGGCCTTTGGAATCCCTTAGTTATTTTTTTGGCCTTACCAAAGTATGTTATATAATACAGTACATATGCTTTCGCAAATACATATGTAAAGTGACTCATAGGAAGTGCTTTGACAATAAGGTCCTGTGAAGTTTTAGTCTAGCCAATTTACTGCTCTTTATCTCTGTTTCTTCCATATTCTCCACATTTTTTTGATAATGAAATCTAGTTGAAACACATGGAAATTTGTTGGGGAATAATTGAAATGATTGTAAAATCCCTTCCTCCCAGTTCCAGACAGATGGAAAGGCTTGGGGATTAGACAACTACCTCTTAACTCTGTTAGTGTAATTGTCCTAAATCACTTGAGTGCTGAAATCTGGTGGTAGACGTAACTATGAAGCTGCTAATCTAGTCCTCAACCTAAAATACATTGTGAGGAGTGGGAATTCCCCCCCCCCCAGTATATAGACATTTGGAAGGGACATTGCAGTTATGGGAAGCATATCTCACAATATGCAACCCTGGAATAAAATTTCACTCCTCCTCCTGAGATTTCTTTAGTAGTTCAGGATTCTGCCCCCTTCATAGGTTAAAGAGGCCTTTGAGTTGTAGCTTAATTAGAATTACCTTTCATACTGTTCTAATTAACTCTGCCTCCCTGGATTGTTTTCTCTACAAAGTGGACAGAGTCTTAATCATGTAGAATACAGTATTTTGGATTTAATATTTCCTACACATAATCTCCTCCCTGGATATCACAAGCTGTTAGACCACATGAACCCAAATCTCTTCCTCTCCTCCCCATGTGTCATCTTGAATATTCATTGCTAATGAGCATGCTTATCAGAGACATTTTCAAGAGGCTTTTTTTTTAAAAAAAGCAAACATCTATCTGTATATATAGATGATATGGCATCCCCAGATGTGCAAAAAACACTAGTTTGTGGTTGGCCTTTTACTATCCAGCTGATAGGCATCAAACTGTCATTTCTGGTATTAAAAGGAGAAATTGGAGACTCAACCTAATTTTATAGTGTATTTCCCACATAGCATGAAAAAGAGTTGGTTCAGGAATAAGAGAAGAAAAAAAAGTGCTTTTATTTCCGATCCTAACTATTCCCCTTCCTATCATATAATGTTAAAGAGCTTGAATTTGGATATTCCAACAACTTTATAGCAATCGCTTTCCTTTGCTACAAAACTCCTTATATAATACAAGGAAGGGAGGTTTTCTATACTCATTATTCCTAGTTCTTCTTCAGGATACAGATAGGGGCTTGAACATGCTGATTCTTCTTTCTGCTGCCCTCCATCCACACTGACAGCCTTCATTATCTCATGGTTATTATACTGAACTTAATTCCTATTGGGCTATTTAGAACTCTTTTAACCCTCATGTGGCAGAATGGGACACTTTAGTCCCTCAAATTTAATATTTTGTTTCAGAATATAAATACAACTAGCCCAACAGCTTGAGGATTCTCTGCCTGGTGTTGATATTAGACTGGACAAGGGCAATAAATTAAAACTGAATCTAGATAAGATGGATATCCTACTGTTAGGAGGATCATTGGTCTAGTTAGTGGGACTGCTACCTGATCTTGATGGAGTTGCAGTCCCCTGAAGGATCGGGCCCACAGCTTGGGGGTACTTCTTGATCTGGCACTCTCTACTGAAGCTCAAATATTGGCTGTGGCCAGGAGTGCCTTTTATCAACTGTGGTTGATTTCCCAGTTGCGACTCTACCTGGATAAGAAATGCTTAGTAACAGTCGTCCACACGATGGTAATCTCAGAAACAGACTACTGTAATGCTCTCTACATAGAGCTGCCTTTGAAAACAGTACAGAACTTTCAACAGGTCCACATTGTGATGACCTGACTGATTCCTGGGGCTAGCAAATTCGGCTCGTTTCACCTGCTCATCTTAATTCAGGTTGCTAGAAGTGGCCACATCAAGGGAGGCTGAAAAAGTGACAAGAAATCTAGCCTTCTCAGAAGTTCCCCCCCCTCCACATTTTTGGAATAAACTTCCAGTTGAGATATGCCAGACTCCTTCCCTCAAGACATTCAGGAAATTAATGAAGACAACTGTACAAAGCTACTTTCAATAACTTATATCCTAGATGTGGTTAATATTACTTTTTTAATTTTATAGTGATTTTTGTTTGTTTTAATTTTAAATCTGGATTATTGAATCACTATATTGATGTGCCATTCTTTGGGTCATGTGGAGTTCTGGGTTTTTAATTTGTAAACTGCCCTGAGTAGTGTGTCCTTTAGAGGGGGGAGTATAAAAATCAAATAAATAAATAGCCATCAGCACAGTTGTAAGTGAAGCTGACAGATTTCAGCCAATTAGTATATCTGACATTTCCCCACAAACAAAAAAATGGCTGGGACTAAGAATGTGGCTATACTGGAGATCTGAATCAGAACAATTTGATTCCCATAATGCATTACATTGAAATAACAATTAGTGCTCACTCAGGGAATATAGATTGATTCAGCAGTTCACCCTTCATTCTGGATATTATATGATTTGCATTCCACTCTACAAACACCTCTTATTTCCTTTCTTCCTCTGGTCCCACCTCTGCTGATTCTTTTATAGGGCATAAATACAGGAAATAATAATGATGACCCAATGATAAGGTGATAGAGTGATCTAGTAATAAAAATAAAAATCGGAATGATTGGAGAAGGATATGGAGACATGTTCCCTCAGTCCTGAACATCACACCCCAACTGGCTACCTCACCAAAACACCACCTACAGGCACATACCCCATCTTTACAAGAGCGTACCACCACTAACTACATGGGGGGAAGCCTGCTCAAATTGTTCCAGCTTGAAAAAGTTGAAGCCCCCCGGGAGCAGAGAAAAAAGCTATTTTGGAAGCAAAAAGGGCCAGACCAATTTGAATAAGCCTTTGCATTATGTGGTCAGTAAAAGATTGTTCTAATTCACCCATTTTATAAGCAGAGCAAATCTCATGGTATTTGACCATGTGGCTGCAGTCTAAAAACTGTTCCAACAGATCTAGTGATTTTTGTGTTGGGATCCATTTCTGTCACAGTAACATATTGGGACAAAATGCTATTGTTCCATAAACAACTGTGTGATAAAACAAATTGAATGCTTGAGTCAAATGTATGTTGGCTCCTTTGAGGAGAAATAGACTTGTATTCGAGGTGGGTGGGGGTGGAGGAGATTTGCTATGGTAAAAAATATGTACAATATGTATACATTTACTTTCCTTTTATTTCACCCAAAATACTGACCTGATGTAGCATCCAGGCTCTTTTGTTTAAAATAAGTTCCAAAATGGAAGCTGCAGGGTTGTACTTTGCCATGATTTGAGAGACTTTTCTCTTTTTTCTGCTAACCCTAACTCTCTAATGCCCAGCCTAGGGAAGAGCTTTGCAGGACTGGAAAGCTAGTGCTTTGGTCTTGTTTTTGGATTATATACAATGACCACTTTTTATTGTTTAAAATGCTGCCTTGTTCTCAGAGAGGGCAGAGGAGTTTACAGGAAAGGAAAAAATACATTCCCCCCTTATTCTTAAAAGGAGCTCTCTCTCTTCCTTTTTCATAAAACCAGAGGAAATTCTGGTTGACATGGGCTCACCCAAGAAATTGATTAGGGTTACAAAACCTCCAAGGAAGTACTTATTTCAATATATAATTCATCTATGGAATTTGTTGCCAAACCTTGTGATAATGTCCTTAGCATTAAGGATTTTAAAAGAAGAAAATACAAAGTCACGGAGAGCATGATTAGTCACAATGGCAATATGGAATCTCCATGTTCTGAATATGCCACTGGATACCAGTTACTAAGAAGCCCAAGAAAGTCTTGTGGTGAATTTTCCAGAAGCATTTTGTTGGGACTATGAGAAACCATGCTGTCCAAATGGAGTTATTCAATCTTAAATCAGTTATATCTTTCAACAGTAGTAGCTCAGAGCAGATTGCTTATCTGATGTATCTTTTAAAAATGGAGAAAGGGGGAAAGTCTCAAATAACAGAACTGTAAGGACTTCACTGATATAAGGTAGACTGGGAAGGTATACTCAAAGCTTGGAGGTAAATTAGATGTAATTGCTGTACTTACTTATTTTTTTCAGGAAAAAAATATAGCTTTGGTAGTTTGCTGTTTTCTTTATGCTTTCAAATATTCAGTTGAGCTTACTTCTGAAACAGAATGAACCACAAAGGGAGAAGTTGCCATCACCTTTTCTTCCTTCAGACTGATTTCCAGGACTGCCTGGTCCTGCAGGGACACACTGTGCCCAGAGCCGTGCAACAAAAGAGTGACATGTCAGACCCATTGTGACACTTAAAGAGCATCTTAAGCACAGCCAGAACACAACCAAGTTATGAAGGAGAGAGGTAATATATATTTAATTTGTTTTTATTAAAGTTGAATTTAGAGTGAAGAGTTTCTCAGACATTCCTATTCCACATTTTAGGTTTATTGAATCAAGGGCAAAATCCAGATGCTAATAGATCCTAGTATGTTTTTAAACAAAGGTCTTCTAGAATCTATTACTTGGTATTTATTGACGTTTGCTGAAGTAATGAATGCCCTGTTTGACGTCTTCCTCAGAAACGCTGTGGCTCAATGGCCCCTTGCTCAGTTTTATTCTGTAAACAGAGCCTTGGTATTGCTCAGTATGTTGTGTTGATACTTGTGCTGAACTGTAGAGGTTTGGATAGAATATTTTTCTATTATTTACAGTGTTCCAAATGACTTCTCTTTCTTCTGATCTGAGGTTACTGGTTGCTTTTATCATTCCCTACATCAATAGTTTCAGCAAACTATTCTGAATATGATTCTGAATAGTTTTTTCTGAATTCATAACTTTTTTTGATTTAAACAATCCAGTTCTAATATTGCTGTCTTTGGAAATAATATGTAGCGTTTCCTACTATTAGTGAATTTCTATTGAAGCTGCATTTTGAGAGCCAAGGTTTCAGCAATCCTCTGTTGCTGTGTGCTGTTTATCTAAGAATTTAGTGTAATTTGTGTTTACTTATATTTCACTGACCAGACTGCAAACCCTTCCTACTACAGCATTATCAGTAGCAAATTTGTTTTGTGTTTCATCTGTACATGTGCTCTGAATGATTTGGGCTTCAGACTGAAGTGACATGATAGGTTCTCCTCTAAGCAATTCCTTGATGAAAACAAATCTCCCATTAGCATTCCATATAGTGTTGTCAATAATAAAAATTAGCAAAGCAATCTCTGTGCTGTTGTAGAAACTCCTTTGCCCATTATTTGAGTGTATTTAGGGAAAGTATTATCAGCCAAAGCAAGTGTACTTCAGCAAACGATGTGTTGGCTGGTTTTAATCAGTGTCCTGAAAAAAAGGGAGGGGAAAAATATCTGATTTTGCTTGTAAAATTATATTAGCTGCTCTGATCATTCAGTAATGGATCCCAGCCCAAGCATATTAAGGATGCTATGTTGCAAGTCTTCCATCGGTTGTTTAAAGAGCTAATCCCAAAAGAAAAGAGAGAAAAAGCGGTCAGTCTAAAGCAAAAAGAACATTTGAAACTGTATCCCCTACCGCAAGAAAATGCAGAGCACAAGTCATTGCCCACACTTCCTCAAAACATGGGCATTAATACAATCATATTGCTTGAATCCTTAAAGCAGGGTAGAGCAAAATGCTCCAAGGTTGTTTTTGTACACCTTCTGGTCCTCACCTGCTCTCCAGTGCCCTTAAATACTGAAAGATAGAAAAAAAGGGGGGGGGATGAAAACATTTTCATAGTCCTAGAGGCCAAGGGTACATAAAACTGCATTGGCCAATGAATTAGATTCGGCTTTTATGCAATATCTTTTATGATTGCATTTGGCTTACATGCCCTCATGAGGACCCTATATTTTTTCAGTGCTAATGTCCATACTAGCCCTTAATCCAATGTGATTTTACATATGCCCACAATCCCTCTGCCTTTGATACCATCCACCTGGTGATCCCTGGCTCTCCTTTCTTTTTCTTCTTCTTTGTGCTTAGGTGATCTAGCACCAAACTAATGTATCAATTCAATGATAAGATGATCTAGCACTAAGCTCAGAAGTTTGTTTATTAAAAATATTAAAAATTGTTTGGATGAATAGGGAAGTTTGTGGGGACCAGTGTTTCCAATGTCCCAGAATGTCCTGCCCCACCATAACATCATCCAGCATTTCACCCCCTTCTTTTGTAGAACAAAGCGAATGATCAAACAGAGAAAACACCATTTGACTCGTAACAGCTTTTAAAAAGTAGAACCTCACAGTAACAGGGGAAAAAAACTCTAAATCAGAAGTGAAAAGGGCCAGGCTGATTCACATTGGCCTTTGTGTCACATGATCATCAAAAATACAGTACATTACTTCAAATTCACCCATGCTAATAGCAGAGCAAAACTGGAAGTACTTGTAGCCTAAGAGAAGTGGCAGTTTTTGCTTTCAGTGTTGGATGGGGTAAACACTACAAAATCATAACGTCAGAATGCCACAAGGTGCTGGCTCAGGACAAGAAGGCCATGTGCACCGTTTAATTAAAGAGAAGGAATAAATGATCTTTACTGTGTTATTATCATAATGTAGCCTATTTGAGCTTCAGATTTTGGGAGAAAAAATAATTACAAATCATTTGTTGGCAATTGTTTACTTCCAGCCTGTGGGGCAAAAGAAATTCTAAGTTAGGTAACAGCTACAGAAACTTCTGTCTCAATAATGATTTCTGGGAGACCCAAGACATAGCTACAATAAAGCAATATGCAAATTAAAGGAACAGCAATTTTAACTCTAATCATGTTCTTTAGAATGTTAGTTCCCTCAAGAATCATTACGTATAATAATAGTAAATATTGTCTTCTTTCTTTGTTTCTCTCAGAGCTCAATTTCTGTTGTGCCCTGGCAATATGTCTAACGGACAGAACCTAACAGGGTCCGGTAGCGGAGAACAGTCCCAAGCAGAAATAATTCATTCTCCTTCTGAACACCAGGCAGCAGACCCCAAGCCTTCCAATCTACTTCTCACTGTAGAAAATGTTCAGAAACTTCAAGAAGAGTATCCAGTTGCTAAATCTGGCTCAGCCAGGGAGTCAATTGAGGCATACATTGAGCAGAGTAATCTCTATCTGAATAAGAGTGAAACTAATACAGATGAAGGCAAGGGGCAGAAGCTACTGGATGAAAAAGAGAAAAATTCTCTTATTCCTCAAAGAGAAGGTATCTGCCAAGATCCCGCAGAAGACTTGGAAGAAAGTCCAAAAAAAGGTAGCTGCAAAATGTTTCTGTTCTGTTGTGTGTATCTGAAAAAAAAAATCAATTCCTTGAGGGTTGCTGTAGTCAAACCAGAGAAGAGTGGCAAATGAATCTTGCAAATTATTTTCTTATAGCTTAAAGGCAATGGCAGGTGGGAAGAGGAGAGAGGCTGAATTAGGGAGTGACACTGTGGCAAGGGTACAAAGCTTTATCTCCTGTATTCATTGTCTGATGGAAGGCTGATCTCTTCCCCTTCTCTCAAATCTGTAGTGGATCTCACTAAGGGTGTGATCAAATGGTGATATAAAATCACTTTGGACTGTGCTGGACAGAGTTGCTTTGCTGGGTGCAGTCTTTAAAACAACCCTCTAAAGCGGTGGTTCCCAACTTTGGGTCCCCAGGTGTCCTTGGACTAAAACTCCCAGAAGCCTCCACCCCTAGTTGTGCTGGGCAGGATTTCTGGGACTTGTAGTCCAAGAACATTTGGGGACCCAAGGCTGGGAACCACTGCTCTAAAGTGACCCTTCCATCCCCATGTGATCGAGACGTGATTGCTTCAGCCCAATCCCCCCAAAAGAGCAGCCCTGCAGTCGACCAAAAAGGTCTGGATGAGGCACAGAGGAAGGTCAGGTTCATTCCCGATCTCCTGAATTCTGTCTGGCCCTAAAAAATAGATCGAACCAGACCATGCCCTGCATGCTCCAAAAACAGCTTGAAGACATTTTCAGTAATATCTATACCGTCCAAAATCCCTCGGACAGACCAGTCACTGACTGTATTGGCTGGGAGATTCTAGGATTCTAGGATTCTGAGTTGTAGTCCAAAAAAGTAACTCTGCCAGTCTTTGTTTGAGTACACGTATATTTCCTATTTACTGTAGTAGGACATACTGTACTTCTGATCAAACAGGTCAAATAGCCATACAAAGGCAAAAACATATACACTGAGTTATTATATCTAATTGTCTGAAATGTCTTTCCAAAAATAGAGTTGAATGGAATTGGAAGGATCATAGAGATCCACTTGCTGCTAAAAGCAGGAACTGTAGTAATGGCAGACCATCCAGTAAGAGCTTTGAAAAGTTCCCCTTTTCCTTTTAAATGATAACTGAAGTGGGGAGCTGGCTTATTGAGGGGGTGTCCCTCTTGCTATCTCCTGCAGATGCCTGTGTCTTCATCTTAAAAATTGTTTAGGCGACATAATCTGAGAGAGGATAAATGTAATATCTCACTTCTCCTCTGTTGTTTCCATCTGGGGACCTAAAAAGCTACAGCTCCCATGGTTATAACATCTGAGCAGGGTGATTTTTTTTAACTTCTCTGCTTCCCACGCCCTTGCCATCTCATATTTTGTAATGTCCACCTCAATAAAGAGTTCTCAAGAAAGAGCTGCACAATTTTGGTGGTATTTTGGTGGCCTAACTCCGCTTTCAAAGACAATCAACTCATAAATCAACCTTTCTTGGCTATGGGTCCTCACTTTTTTTTTTAAGGACGTGATAATTTCTATCTAGTAGATTTCTCTGGGGGAAAAGAGGCACCTGGAGACTTGCTTATATAGTATAATATAGAATATAGACACAATCAATCAAAATTATAAGCTAGAGAAAGAATGCCTCCATTTCTCTGCAGTCAAAAACCGCTGCTGACCCTGTTTCCTTTCTGTTTTGTTGATTTTAAAATCCATTTTTCTCTCTTTCTTCAGATTTCCAGACATGTTCTTTGCCATCTTCAACTGTCGAGGCTCAGTCATCAAAGTAAGGACAAAATGTTGCTTACTTCAGTAACATTCTTCTCCACAGCTCAGCAACATCAGCGACCAAACAGTATCCAGATAGCCTATTAAATTAGAGGTTGACATACATACATTTTAACCAAGACCCATGCTAACCTTTTGTTTGTTCCAAAGCCAGGGAGAATATCTGAGTGCTTTTCCATCTGAAAACGGGCACCTATACTTCACTTCTAACAGACCACACTGCAGCTTGATTCACAGCCTATTTGATGCTCCTATTCGGATCAGATCACACAGAAACCACCAATTGCTTTGGTGTCCACACTGGCTCCTCAATCCGATGTTGTTTGTTCCCTGCCACAACCCACAACCCCCCTTCCTTTGATCCTGCTCTCTGCCAATCCCCGGCTCTTCTTTTTCAGTTTATTGTACAGCCTGTAGGCTATTTAAGGTGTTGTGTAGTATTAGAGAAAGGGGGTAGTTTCCCAAAGTTCTCCATAACATATAAACACATACACGGAAACAATAATCTGCTATAGTTTATCAGAGTTGTTTCTGTTGCATATTGTTCTTTATTTTTAGTGGTGGTGAGAGTCCAGGCACAGGTGATCTAGTGCTAAAATAATATATCAGTGCAGTGATAAGGTGATTTAGTGTTGAACTTGGTGTTCGTTTATATTTTCTTTTGAAAAAAAACTTTGGAGCAACTATAGAGAAAGATTGCAGGTGTGGATTTTCCTGCTATCTAAAACATTGCACCCAGCTTAGTACATCACCAGAATACAGTACTACCCACAGCCATCCCCAACATCCATCCTTTTGGAAAACAAAACAACTGATCACATGGGGAAAACACTGTTTTAATCACTTTGACTTGAAAAAAGTAGAACCTCCAGTGGCAGGGAAGAAAACTGCTTGAGAAGCAAAAAGGGATGGACTAGCCCACATTGGAATTTGCATCATATTATCAGTTTTTTAAAAAAATCAGATGAATCCATTTTACTTTTAGCAAGTCCCTTACGATTTACTCACGTATTCACAGCCTAATAGTCTCATTGAAAGTGGGAGGAAAGAGTCTGGAAGATAGGAGCCATTCCAGAGAAAATCCACATGGGGACTAGAAACCTATTGATGTTCACATAAAGTTTGCACACTGTTTCCAACTAAATTACAAGGCCAGCCACATCCTCATTGTGTAGCCCAGAGCCTTGTCAATTAGCCACAATTAGTCATGATAAGTTATACAAACCTTATACAGACACCAAGAAGATTCTGGCCAGTCATGGCATTTCACTCTGTCATTGTTCCTGTGGTGCTAACAGCACTTTACAGTATGTGCAAATAGTAGCTGTACTCATATTTCTATCCATGCTATAGAAGGTTTCACCAATTGATTCCAGCACTAGCCAGTTTTGTTCTAATCAGTTTATTTATTTATAAATTTATATCTCACATTCTTTCTGTAGAAGTAATGAATACCAAGGCCATCTCCCAGTCAGGCGTTGAAAAGACACACACAGAGACACATACAAGTTTTAGCAGATGCCTTTAGCTCCTGTCTTGAAAACACACAAACAGGCTTCCATCTTACTCAACATCAACTGATGCCCAGGAATAACTTATTATTGTCATTCTCACTCTCCCAGACACTTCCTACCCAGTGAGTCACTTGTATTACATAGCTTTGTTAGCTTTAGCTCAGAGTCTGGGAAAACACTTTTTAAAAATAATAAATGCATATTACTCACTGTAATTATTTCTAAAAAGTTGTTTTAAAGTACAGTAAGTTGCTGGTCTTACATGTTCCAGAATCAAGAAGATTACTTATTACTTTGTTCTTTAGTTGTTGTTGAATGAAGGAAACATACATTGGTTTATGTATTCTGTATTTCTCTTCCTGGAAGCCATAAATTTTTTAAAAAATCACTTTTCCAAATTGTGATTATCACTTGCAGCAACATGAATGCAGCCTTTCTTTGGCCTTTTGGACTTGGCCACAAAAGTGCAGTTGGAGAGGAAAAGAGGTAGTAAAGAACTTCAGCACTTCTCCTCCTCCTTCCCTCCCCCCTCTTATCACAGGAACTATTCTGCTTGTTCTAAATTTGGAGACAGGAGTTCGAAACAACAATATTGCATTGTCCAAATCCATCTCTTAAGCGTTTTCTACCATTACATCTGTTTTCCCCTACACTTCTTTCCCATTTGTTTTGCCCTGACCAGCTGTGTTTTTTCACCTTGTTAGCCACAGTCCTTTTGCCTAAGTACAATGATGTAAATCAAGCGGCAAAATGCTGCTAGTTAAGAAGCCACTACGTGGGACGTGGTGGCGCTGCGGGCTAAACCGCAGAAGCCTGTGCTCCATGGTCAGAAGACCAGCAGTCGTAAGATCAAATCCACACGATGGAGTGAACTCCCGTCGCTTGTCCCAGCTCCCGCCAACCTAGCGGTTCGAAAGCATGCAAATGCGAGTAGATAAATAGGGACCACCTCAGTGGGAAGGTAACAGCATTCCATGTCTAAGTCGCACTGGCCATGTGACCACGGAAGATTGTCTCCGGACAAACGCTGGCTCTATGGCTTGGAAACGGGGATGAGCACCGCCCCCTAGAGCCGAACACGACTGGACAAAAATTGTCAAGGGGAACCTTTACCTTTACCTTTTAAGAAGCCACTACAGTACTTCTATTCCCCACTGTGTACAAGTCACACAACTAGCACACAATACAAGAATACAAGTGACAACTCCTTATTAAGCAACAATTCACCATTATACTTACACCATTGCACTTACACCCAGCATATGCAAGCAGTAGTGAATGAACTATTCTAGCTTCCTGCATTTTATGTGTTTTATGATTTCTTGATCTTACTCATTTCTTTGTTGGTCACAATCCAAGAAATTTTTATCACCATTCCATAAAACCACATTAGAAATACTTCTGTCTTTTTTATAGTAGCTCATGTTCAAGTCCACAAACCAAGGATACATAGCAGCATACAATGCACATTCTTTAAACCAATTTTAAGTTTTTGTCTTCATTGTAAAGATACTGCTCTGGGCCATATGTAGTCAGACTTTTATTGCAGGATTATTATCCAATTGTTCATTCAACCACATTCCAAGGTACAGTGGTGCCTCGCATAGCGACGTTAATCGGTGCAGCAAAAATAGTTGCTAAGTGATTTTGTCGCTATGCAATTTTAAAAAGCCCATAGGAATGCATTGAAACCCCTTCGATGCGTTCCTATGGGCTTAAAACTGACCTTTAAGCGAAGATCCTCCATACAGCAGCCATTTTTGCTGCCCAGTAAGCGAGAAATCCATCCCTAAACACAGCAGGCGGCCATTTTTTTTACCCGGTAGCCATTTTGGAACCGCCGATCTTATTACTTTGTTCTTTAGTTGTTGAATGAAGGAAACATACATCGGTAAGCGAAACAGGGAGCCGATCATCGCAAAGTGAAAAAAAACCCATTCAGACCATCGCAAAGCGATCGCAAAATCTTCATCACTATGCGATTTCGTCATTAAACAGGGCGCCCGTTAAGCGAGGCACCACTGTATTTAAATTTGTCAGTATGTTTCATACTTCCATTTTGAATCTTCAGCTGTATATCTTGCGATGCTTCTTTTGTACTGATTTATTCATTTTTAGACAGTTTGTTGCCTATTTCACTGACATCATGGAGTAAACTTCGCAAAAACTATCTTAGTTGTCAACTAGTAATACTGTATTATCTGTGTATTACATTACCATTAGTGGCACTGACATTTGTATTTGTCTGTCCTGTGTCATCTAATCCTCAATTTTCCTGCAGCTTTTGTTTCCTGTACAAGTTGTCAAATATATGAGTTACTATTGAATCAAAATATTTCTCTACCCAGCTGGTTCTGTTGTAGAGCAAACATACATTACATACCCACATTTCTATCATAAAATCTCTCCCCCCAAAATGTATTTTAATTTGAACTTACCTTTTCCCTTGGCAGAAGGCGTGATGTTGCAGATTTGGAAACGCAGACAGAATGGAGTTACTCAGATAGATCTGAAGGTTCAAGTGAACAAAGTAAGTTTCTAAGGAACATGTGCTAGACTTAATTAAATGTTGCTGGCTCTCAGAGTCTCTTATGATCTATGGAATAAATATATGTATGTCTGCATTGAAAGCATGTGTAATTGGCTACTGGCCTAATTCTTTTTGAGTTTGAAATGCTGTAGCTTCATCTGTAAAAATAATATCTGCTTAGTAGGTTATTTTTCTTTGAACGGCTACTTAGTTATTTTAGAATAAATGCAGCAATGTTCATATCAATGTAATCAATGGAGAGTGATGAATTTGATAGGTAGCCTTGCCTTTCTTTATATTTTTATTTATTAATTCTTCCCTTATTAATTCCCCCACCCCTTTAAGGGAAGTCAGCAGGTTGTGGTGAGTGGACCACCAGAAGCTTTAGATCACAGGATCCAAACCAATCCCAGACACTAACCATGCTCCCCTGCTAAGCAAACTTTTAGACCAGCCCTAGTCTAAGCCATTTTCCATTCATTGCAAGCAGAGGCTCCCCCCCCTCCAAGTCTGAGGAAGGCAGAAAGAGAATACAGGAATATACTGAAGACTGTTAAATCAAGTAGCCTCTAATACTTTGACTAGCTGCTTCTGTAGGAGTAGCTAAATGCCATGTTCTTGATTCATAAAGAAGTCATGGTGTATTAGGAGCAAACAAAATCAGGATCCAAACCAGTCCCAGACACTAACCATGTTCCCCTGCTAAGCAAACTTTTAGACCAGCCCTAGTCTAAGCCATTTTCCATTCATTGCAAGCAGAGGCTCCCCCCCCTCCAAGTCTGAGGAAGGCAGAAGGAGAATACAGGAATATACTGAAGACTGTTGAATCAAGTAGCCTCTAATACTTTGACTAGCTGCTTCTGTAGGAGTAGCTAAATGCCATGTTCTTGATTCATAAAGAAGTCATGGTGTATTAGGAGCAAACAAAATATGGCATCAAGGGATACGTGACTGGATTGTTCACCATTTTTCAAATGTTTAAAATTTGAACACCCCACCACCCCAACATCCAAAACCTAATTAGAACTTCAGGAATGGAAGAAAAGCCTTAGTTCTTTCCACCTCCCAAAATATTTCTGCTTCAGATTGTTTCCGTAGTAGTATACCTAAGGCACCTTCAGTGTGCATGGCTCTTTACATTGCTCTAAGGAGCTTACAGTCAGAAAAACAGAAGGTAGCAGAGGAGGAAGAAAGAAAAGGAGGCAGGGTCAATATGGATAATAAGAACATGCATAACATCTCTGAAACGACAATACTAATAATCTGGAAAATATCTTGGGAGTTCTAATGGTGTTGTTTCCATAGTCCTGCATAAAGTTAAAGTGCTAGAGCAAATAGTGAATAATGCAGTGAATTACATTCTAGACTTTGGTATAGATTTTTGTTATATTAAGTAAGCCAAATGCTCCATTCAGAGGTTCCCTCAAATGTAGTCATCTCCATTTCAGAAATAGTTGTAAATTGAAACCCAGTTGTGTTGTGCTTCATTTGTTCCTGCTTTTAGTTTTTATTTTCTGTTAATCTTCAGAGTTCTAATGGTGTTGTTTCCATAGTCCTGCATAAAGTTACAGTGCTAGAGCAAACAGTGAATAATGCAGTGAATTACATTCTAGACTTTGGTATAGATTTTTGTTATATTAAGTAAGCCAAATGCTCCATTCAGAGGTTCCCTCAAATGTAGTCATCTCCATTTCAGAAATAGTTGTACATTGAAACCCAGTTGTGTTGTGCTTCATTTGTTCCTGCTTTTAGTTTTTATTTTCTGTTAACAGCAGGACATTTTATTTAGAATGTAAGCATTATTAATAGTCATATTACGTATGTTTCTTACATAGGAGGAAAAAAGCTGGATCAGAGAAGCATGACTGAAAAGGAGAAACGTGTGAGCATAGGAAGTGAAGGTGAGTTGTATTATGAATAGATTTTGCATGAAGTTATTCAACTGAATGCCTGGTTTCAGAATTAGATCTTATGGGCTGTTTAATTAGTGGCCCAAATCCTGTTGCTTTGCTTAGAAATTTGTACTAGAGTGGGCCCATTGAATCAGTGAGGATTTAATCACTCAACTCCATTGGTTCAGATGAACCTACTTTGACTTACTATACTAAAGTAAGTTGGAGTTGGAGACTTCCATTTGAATCTACTGTATAGACCGTGCAGGAGAGTTGATTCCCCAAATCTCCATTGATTCAGTGGGCCTACTTTAGTGCAATTTACTGTGCCAAGCAATAGGATTTTGGCTACTGAATGTGTTAGGATTGTGCTGATCAGAGCTTGGAAATAAAAAGTAGCAGAGTTTCTGGTGATGAGTTACTTTTTGGTAATGAGGACTTAAGGAAGTGCCATTTCAAAAGCAACATAACATCTTTCATTTACTGTACTTTTAACACACATTAAAAGGGTTTTCTAAGGCATTTTATAGGAATTGTTAATTCTACTCTTTATCAATCCTGGACTATTTTGAAGTAAAAAGTGAGAACAAGTAAGGAGCAATAAGATGTACGATGTAATGAGATACCTTTTTACTATTGTAATTAGTGATTACAATTAATTATTTTAAACGACTGCAATAATTAATAGGAACCAATTAATTAACAACTTTCTGCATTGATTGTTACCTCTGTTTAGCATTTGAATGGAAGTGATATTGGAAATTAGGGATGGACCTCTCATGTTTAAACAGAAGAGGCTCTCTAATTTGTGTTTTTCAATGATTGCCGAAAGAGAGTCTCTAATACATAAATGATTTAGATACACTAAAGTGGCATGTCTCTTTCATGTTCCCTCTTTCACGTAAACTTTCTGGTGCCCTTTCATCCTTTATCTCTCCAATCTCCTGAAAAACATTTGTTAGAGCCACAAGGGCTGTGAGTCCCACTGAGTCGCAAGGGCTGTCAGCAGCCAGCCAATCAGAATGTCTTTGCAGAGGGTAGGTTGGATTTTGAATCTGTGAAATGGTCTGGAACCTAGTGAGGAGCACTCTCAGCTTCAGTAATTTTTTATGGGATTACTGAGTGCAGGCTCCCTGTTGCCTTCTATCTTGGATTGATGTCTACCCGCCTACTGCCTGCCTGCTTGTGTCTATATACCTCCTGAAAAGAATCTTTTGAATTTTCCTTCCTTGATTTATTTTAGGATTTTTTCCCCTCTTTTTTGGGGGGGGCAAAGAGAATCATTTCTTGGATTGCTTTCGCTGCTGCTTGGCCTGCCTGCCTGCCCCTAGACTCAAATAAGAGAAGAGAGCCTATCAGGTGGTAAGGAGAGAAATCTATCCCCATTGTGACGTGCCTCTCAGGTGTCCCCAGGTTGTTTCACTAGCCTGAGGCCCATGACACATTCTCTCCTTTCTGCTGCCACCAGTTGACTTCTGTCAACACCCTTTAATTAGAAAGATTGAGGTCCAAACTGAGTACAAATTTGAATATGGGTTTATTGATTGCAGTTCGCTTAAACAGGTTCTTCACAGATTAGAAAGATTGAGGTCCAAACTGAGACAAATTTGAATATGGCTTTATTGATTGCAGTTCGCTTAAACAGGTTCTTCACAGCCTTTAATGTATTCATTAGATTAGTAATAATTTGCTTCACTCTTAACTCTCTTAGCTCTCTATAATTTCCACACTCTTAACTCCTAACTCTTCCACATTCTCTAACTCGCACAGACAAACTTTTACTTCAGACTAGAGACAGGAACAAATCAAAAAAATTGTGATTAGTTTTGATTTGTGAGTCATCAAGGTTAATACAAATATACGAATACAAATATACGAATATTCTTTGACAAATTGACAAATCGATTTGTCAATCCATCTTTGCTTTAAATGGCTATAAAACTGGCCCCTAAGCACCTAGAGACACCAAATGTGCCAGGAAGCTTCCTCAGATATATTTCTACAACTACTGAAACTTTGATGAACATTGAATAACGGATCCCTGAGTTATATAGTCACAAAATGGGTAAATATTTGTCCCTTCATATTCATGTGGGTCTCTGGAACCCAATGACTTTGGTGAAGATTGGATATTGGACATCCAAGTTATTCACCCACAAATTGGGTCCCCCTAGAACAGTTTGCCACACCACACAGAAGCCCATGTTATTGAGGGAGTTATTTTTCACCCCAGCAGAATGAGAGGTCTTTGGCACTGAGAAGCAGGCATTAGGCATTGAGTTTGTCTTCGGCAACATTGCAAAGAACAAAACAAACCCCACCATTCTGGGGTTGGGTGGCTGGGGGATGGTGGCTGCCTATCCCCTGCCGATCAGCTGATTGGCGGCCGGTAGGCAGAATGGTTTTTTTGTTTTTTTGTTTTTTAATACGAAGGACAAATAAAAATGGGTAAATATTTGTCCCTTCATATTCATGTGGGTCTCTGGAACCCACGAATATGAAGGGACGAATATTTAACAAATCGGCTATTTTTGTCAAAAAAGCCGATCCATTTTTATATTCATCCCCACGTCTACTTCAGACTCTCCTCTCTCACTCTCCCTGACTGCCCAGACTTTGACTCACCCCTCCCTTCTAGTTTTACTGGCTCCGCCTCCGAACAGCTCCCATTGGTACATGCAAATAATCTCCTACATGAGCCAGAGCAAGGTGAGCACCACTCCCATTCTTGTAGTTTTGGATGGGTGAGGTCTTTGATTGTCATGTTGGCCTTTATTTGCTTGCCTTGGTTTTTACTCCACATATGTGCTTAAGATTACAGCCGCTCTACTGTTTTCCTCCCACAGAACTAAGGACTGGTAGCATTGGAGAAAAAGAAAAACATGAGATTGTATTGGACAGTAAAGGTATGATGTCAGTCAGCAAGGGTGAGAAAGACCTCTTTGTTAGACAGCAAGTGGGTACAGATCTTGATCAAACAATTAGACAGACAAATGGTCAAAACCATCATAAGACAATTGGAAATATTCCTGTTTAAGCTTTCATAGCTGCTGCCTTTTGACCTTCTTTGAAGCATGCAGTTTCAACTACTGTAATTTGGAATGACTTCTTTCCTATTGTTTTTGTGATTTTAGCCGTTTTGGGAAGCCTAGCTCTCTATTTAAAAAACCTACGTATTTGTTCTAAAAGGTTGCTAAATAGCCATGTTTTTACCATACAGTGTGGTGTGCATATAAGATAAAAAAAAGATAAAATGTATCTAAAATTGGTACCTGTGGAACTAAAATATTTCAAATGTGTTTTTTCTAAGTGAGCTCTTCTCCCGATGAAGAGGCTGATGTGACAACTCTGTTGAAACAAGAGGTAATATTAAAGAGACCTAACATTAAAGGGACTCCAGGGTGAACTGCAGAGATTTCCTCAATACTGCAATTCCACCAAGTACAGAAAATCATGTGAACCCAGCAGAATGATTACGGCCAGTTGGTACTTGAGAGAGATCTGTAGTTGCCATGGATGCTTCATGTTTTCAGCCATTCCCAACCAGGTGGCTTTAGCATGGATTTTGAAATACCGCAGCATAACAATCCAAGAGGACTTCACCACCACTGTCTGTGAGCTGATTAGGATTAACTCAAGAAGGGAGATTTGTGCAGTGGGAGGGCAGTACACTGAATAGAATCCCTATTGTGTCTTGGGCGCCCACCTTTAAGATAAACACATTCAAACCTGCAGGCCTAGGGCATGGAGATACTTGATAAAGGCCTTGTGTTGTGGCCTTGCATCCACCTTTGTTGTCACAGTCTGGGCAGTCTCCAGGGCTACCACCTCAGAGGAGTATGTTAAAGTGAGGCCATGGCAGCCATGTTCTTTCCATTTTGTTTTGTTTAATTTAAGCACTGAAATTGGTTGGTAAACCTACAAGCACAGAAAACCTACAAGCACAGTTAAGAGTATAGCACACCCATGGCAGAAATAAATAAATGACATCACCTTTTCCATTAATTAGTCTTGGTTAGTGTGCAACAATATGTCTCCTTTTCATTTCCAAGGGATTTGTGAAGAAAATATTCTCAGTGGCCAGTGCCTGGTCAGGTCTGTGTACCACTCGTTCTGTTACTTTTACCTGGGATTCACTGAAATCCAGTAGTGGATCTTGTGCCGTGCAAGGGTGATGATGTCATCTGGTGGGGTAGTTTTTCATAGACCTTTCTGATCCTCTCTTCAAAGGTGTGGAAGCTTCCTTGGGATGCCTTTCATCATGGGAAAGCCACTGAAGACTGCAGGAAGGGAAGGAGTCTTTAATTTCCAAAGATTGCCATTGATGATGTTACTTCAGTGGCTTCCCCACGACAAAAGGAATTCCAAGGGAGCCTCATGGCCTTTGCGTGGTAGACATGTTTAATTTATGTAATTGTATTAAACCAATGCATCTTAGGCACTCCTAGCTGACACCCAATGAGCCATGTTGAATTTCAGTTTTGACAGTCACACAGATTATTTATTAATAGCAATGTATTTGATTTTGTAGATTTCAGTGAAATATCTTTCAACCAGCTTAGTATAGGTAATGAAATACTGTACAATAAAAAGATTCTTGTTGGACCTTAGACACTAATGAGGTTTACGTGGCATGAGTTTTTGTGGACTGTAGCCAGCTTCTTCAAATGAAGGAGATATACCCTAAGTAAACAGACATTTATGCTAACATAGGGAATCTGAAAGGTTTACGACTTTTAAAAACAGAGAAAAACTCCCATCATACAAGTGTTCCTCCATAATTACATGTTGCCAGGCATAAAGTCCAGAACATTTGCATAACTTTACATTACACCTGGACAAACAGGATTTTGCCAATTGTAAAGGTAAAGGTAAAGGTTCCCCATGACAATATTTTTTTTGTCCAGTTGTGTTCGACTCTAGGGGGCGGTGCTCATCCCCGTTTCTAAGCCATAGAGCCAACGTTTTGTCCAAAAACAATCTTCCGTGGTCACATGGCCAGTGCGACTTAGACACGGAACGCTGTTACCTGCCCACTGAGGTGGTCCCTATTTATCTACTCACATTTTTACATGCTTTCGAACCGCTAGGTTGGCAGAAACTGGGACAAGCGACAGGAGCTCACTCCATCACGTGGATTCGATCTTACGACTGCTGGTCTTCTGACCTTGCAGCACAGAGGCTTCTGCGGTTTAGCCCGCAGCGCCACCATGTCCCTGTTTGCCAATTGTATATAGGCCTGTTTCTGGATAGTGAACAGTAAAAGTGTCACCAAAATTTGGGCACCTGAGCAAATGCTCTGGTTCTTGCCCACTATATACATTTCCAGGTTTTTGTCCCAAATAATTTGTACATTCAGGTACAAAGAAGTGCCTGAACAATAAAGTCTGATTTGGTAGCCACATTAACAAAAATTACTAATTCTTTCAGCAATTTCAGTAATTGTAATAAATATTCTACATAGAAACTATTACTATGTGGAACTTAGAACGAAACCCACACTAAATACTAAGGGAGTAGAGAGCAGGGTGACGGGAATGTCTGGGATCTTTACTCGATTAAAAAGTTTCTCATATCCAGAGAAAAGGACTAATAACTAAAGTTTTCTCCACAGTTGCCAGTGAGGTTCTTATTAAGGAAAAAAAAAACATTTTCAGAAACTCAGATTAGGCTAACTAATATAGAATCAGCTGTTAAATTTTGCATGCCCAAAATGAGCCTACTCAATAAATAGTTAATTTTATTGTCTGGCCAACTGCAGCCTAGTATGCATATATTCTTATATGAATAGATAGTTCAGTTTGTAGAAGATGTTGGTTTATTGAACTGCTTGTTTTTTTTTCTATTGAGGATCATTCCATTACTGACCTCTGTCACCTTGGCTGCTGTGAGTTTTGTAACAACTTCCTGAAGGGATTGCCAACTGCAGAGGAACTTGAGGATAAGCCAGATACAATGGAAAGTGTATGCAGATTCTCTTCTTATGTACAATTATTGTGATTATTTTTTTCACAACTATTTCAGTCTCAGGACAAACATGCCCACATTGTTTCTTTATAAAGTTTTTAAAAATGGGTTTTGCTTGGCAAAGTCTATATAAGACTCTAGAACAGTGGCTACCAACTTTGAGTCTCCGTATGTTCTTGGATTAGAACTCCCAGAAATCCTGGCCAGCATAGTCAGTGCTTCTGTGAGTTTTAGTTCAAGGACATCTGGGGACCCAAGGTTGGGAACCATTGCTCTAGAATAGGGGTCTCCAAACGATGGCCTGCGGGCCACATCTGACCTGCCTTGCATTTTATCTGGCTTGGCGGGCCGATGTGCACACATGTGGGAATGAGGGAGTGTGGACGGGCGGGAATGTGTGCAGGTGTGTGGGAGTGCCCGTGCGCGCCTTCCTTCATCCCTCAAAAATGTGGAGCATATATGATGTGGCCCTCCCACTGAAAAGTTTGGAGACTGCTGTTCTAGAATGATGGACTAATAGAAGGCAGTCTTCAGATATACCATATTTTTCCGTGTATAAAATGACCCTTTTTTCTTAAATAATTTGAGAAAAAATGAGAGTCGTTTTATACATGGAAGGCAGCTCTTTACCACTGCCTTTTGCGAAGGCATGGGGCTTTAGCAAAAAGGAAGGGGAGCCGTTGCTCCCTTTCCTTTTTGCTAAACTCCGTGCCTTCTCAAAAGCTGCCTTTTGAGAAGTCACTGAGTTTAGCAAAAAGGAAAGGAAGCAATGGCTCCCCTTCCTTTTTGCGAAGCCCAGCACACCCTCACTTTTAGAGAAGGCACGGAATTTAGCAAAAAGGGAGCCCTTTGATCCCTGCTTTTTCTAATTTGGGTTTAGAAAAGGGGGGGTCGTCTTATACTTTGGGTCGTCTTATAAGCGGAAAAATATGGCAATTGAACATTGACTCCAAATTGGATGACAGCTTTAACATTGTTGTTGTTGTTACAGGCTGTCAATAATAATCATATGCCATCAAGTCAATTTGGATTTGTGGTGACCATTTTCAGAATTTTCCAGTTAGAGAACCAATAAGTGGTTTATCATTCCTTTCTGGAGGTGCCCTGGAGCTGTGCAGCTTGCCCGAGACCACACAGGCAGGCTCAACCCACAGTGGGGATTCAAACTCTTAATCTGTGCCTCCCAAGCCAGATGCCTAAATCACTGAGCTATCCAGCCAGCTTACATGCTGTCAAGTCACAATGAATTTCCACGGCTGAGTGGAGATTCAGAATCAGGTCTTTTCAGGTCTACTCTCACCCTCTATCCACTACAGAACATCAATTAACGTAGATTTTCCACATTATGCAAATTATCTAAATTTGTTCTTGCACTGGTTTTTTGAATCAGTATGTTTTAACTTTCGTGTCATTTATGCAGTAACCACTCATTTGAAAGAGTTGGTATAGTGTAATGGTTAGACATAGGCAGAAATTTGAAAGATAAAGGTTCATTATAGTTTGTGGTCAGCCATGAACCACAAAACATGAACCATGATGAAACAACTGGAAAACCAAACCAATTTGTGGTTTGGTGTTCAGTTCATGCCTATGGGGGCTACTGCTCCTGTCACAACAATGCCATTTGTTGTTGTACTGCCTTCGCCATTGCATTGGCAGCTGTGGGGCTTCCTTTTCAGGAGCCTGGGCACTGTCTCTCTGCATGTGCCTGACCCCCAGCTGATTGCCCTGATCGAAGGGAAGCCAGCCCACTGTCTCTGGCAATGGTGGCTAAGGTGACAGGATCAGGTAGGGAGGCAGTCGGGGCTGTGGGAAGGGGCAGGCAGGCATCCATTTTGGCAAAGCAAAAATGAAGTTTTGAGCGGGGGAAAGTCTGGCAATTCCGTTTACTTTGGCAAAAGAAGACCTCAAACTGGGTCATGAACTGAACTATAAACCAGCCCAATGCATCAGTTTTTCTGGTTTGTAGTTCGGTTTGTGCCCATCTCTAGGAATGGTTAGCACTAGACTTATAACAGAGAGGTTCAAGGTCAGATCCTGGCTTAGTGACAAAGCTCACTTGGTGTTCTTGGGCTAAGCTCTCAGCCAAGCCTACCCCACAAGTTTGTTTTCAGCAAAAAAAAATGAGGAGAGGAAGATCATGTCAAGCAAATTATGTAACATGCTGGTGCGTATAAATGAAAAAAGTGGGGTTTTTTGTTTGTTTTGTCTTGTTTTTTTTGCAATTCGTGTGGCCTTTTAGTGACATTCCCATGATAATGACTTTTGCTTTTACCATTAGTTTTTATTGATGGTTAAAATGTCCTATACAGGAAAAAAAATAAGAGTGGAACTAGACAGCCCAATTATTGTGGCCTGGGTCAGTGTAGATTGTGCAAAATGGGGTTGCTTTGAGGTGTGGTATGTCATTTGGATCAATCCTTTCATCCACATGCACTTCAAGCAATCTTGTTTAGCACAATCTAGACCAATATTTTCTTTTAAAGAGAAAGAAAAACAAAATTTTCCTCCTGTCTCCTCCTCCATCCTTTGCTGAAAATGCTTAACGCTCTTGGAAATGGGAAGCTTCCTTTCTACTTGCTTGCAGAGATAAGTAAAGAGAATTGTTGCTAACTGACACAGTGCATTAGCAATGCTTTGAAAGGGCTTTTACATTTTGTTAATGTATCAGTGAGGAAAAAATTAAAAAGAAATGGGAAACTTCCTCTCCCTTCTCTCTGCAGGTGAGAAGGCAGGAAGCCTTCTAATTTCTCAAGATCATTAAGCAGCTTCATCAAAGGGACTGCTAACTAGCACCTTTGGTTTGATTCCAGCAATCACACATTCCAGAAATGAACCAAAACAGAGCAATCCTACCCCCACAAAACAAACAGTAGCCCCTGACTGTGAGACAGATGGAGAAGGTCCTAAATTCAAGATAGAACTAGCTTTTTTGGGAACCAAGTATTAGTTTCAAAGTAAGAAAGAGGCAACAAATATTTGTGCAAGTAATGTTACACCTCAAAAGAAGCATGCATTTGTCCAGAGGTTATTAAATAATGAAAACCCAATTAGTGGGTATGCTGGTGGCCATCCCACATCTGAGCTTTTGTGTCTTTTGTAGTTTCTTTGTTGCAGGAGTTATAAAGAAGTTTTCGAGTGTGTGATACAGGAGCTCTTAGAAAGTAGCTCCCCAGAAAGTGAGATAGACATCCGTCCACATCCACGTCTTTCACAAACACTCATGGAGAGCAAGACTAAAAAACTCCTGAAGGATGAGTATGTGACTTCAGATATGAATGCCATTTTTTCTCAGCCGTCACACTATGTTTTTAGACTACAAAATTATGATTTTGAGAATAGGGTGGTCTTAAGGATGCTATTGACAGTTCAGGCTTTCTCTATTGACAGAAAAGAATCAAACCAGAAGCTACCCTACCAAAAAAGATTTCATAAATCTAGTCCAAAAATCTTGTTCTATTTCTATATACTGCCAAGAGAAATCTGCTTTTAATTGTAATATTTAGCACTTACATACACTCACTGTGAGGTCAAAGAGCCTGAGTATACCCCCAAATACCTTGGGATTTGCTCTATTTATAAAATGAGTGAAAACAAAGTAATTTTTCCTGCCCTCATGACACAAAGGCCAAATCGAATCAATCCAGCCCTTTGGGCTTACAAATTGGCTTTTTTCTGTCATTGGAAGAGGCTACTATTTTTTCTTTCTGGGAAGATTTATAGGACTTTTTCTTTGCAAATGGGGTGGTAGTGACTTGGTAGAGGAGGAAGGGGGAAATAATAGAAGGAGACTGTCGCGAGTTTAGCCGAAGAAGATCTGGAATCAGAGAGGTTAATCACAGCTGAGGGAAATTCTGGGCAATTAGTATCACAGACAGTTGAACCACATCCAGACACTCCTCCCCCACTAGCCAGAGTGAGAGATAAGCTTTGGCAGACTCGCAACACAGAAGTCTGAGGCTCGCATGAATGCTTCTCACGGGAACATCAGGTCGACCAGCCCTCAATTTTAACAGGATGGAATGTTTCTAGGAATTAGATGGTTGCTGCTGCTATATAATTTGCACCCAGAGGCTTCGAAGCTCGTGGAAGCAACAAGTCAATTCTCTGGCTCATGTCCGTACTCCTAGTTATCTTGAACCTTCTCTCGTGACTCTTGGCTTTTGGACTCTGACTTCTAACTACAGTTTGTGTTTTGGCTTTGACAATTTGGCATCTGTTTTTTTATCTCCCGGACTTCTGACCTTGGACTGGCTTATTGGACTTTTGCCTGCTGAATCCCCTAGGAGTTGTGACAGAGACACACCAGGCAGAAAAAAAGGAAGCACAAGAGAGGGGCCAGTGAAAGAGAGCAGGGAGTGATGTGTGTGTGAAAGGGAAAAGGTGGCAAAAACAGGGAGAGAGCAAATGTACACACACAGAGACACACACAGAGCACCACTGCTTTCCTTTCTGCAAAGCCTCCACGAATATATTTCTCCAAAGACTTTGCTCCCCTAAGCTACCACTTCTTTTTTCAGACAGCTTCTCTTCACCCCCCTCCTGTTTATTCATTAATTTATTTTTAAAAAAAACAGCATCAGGAACTCTCAACCACAAGAAAAGGAAGTAATTGGGAGGAAGTAAAGCCTCCTTAAGGTACTCCCTTTGAATTATGCCATATACAGGCATTTCAACTTGAACTGCAAGTATAAGGCTTTTGTCTTCCTAGGGCCCCTGTGGCCACCTATATTGGCATGAACAAAATGCCCCAGTGTGGCTTTGTAGGGAGAGAAGGCAACTTACTTTGAATTTACCTTGCTAGTCACAGCAGGAGGGAATTTGGGTCTGGTCGATTTAAGTGACCTCATTAAAATGTGTGATATCCTTCCAGAGATCAAGTGTCCTCTAATGATATTCATACTGCTATTGATTAAATCAACTGCAGCTCACTGCAGACAAAAGCCGGTGTGTGACACTGACATCTGTGTGTGATAAGAAATGATCAGCATACCAAAGCACAGCTCCACAAATAAAGTACAGTAGCTGCTCAATGGGAAGTTCTTGTATGTTCTTTCCTGACCAAATTCCTAATCTAAGGAATCTACATTGTCCTTTCCTTTCAGAAAAAGAGAAAGAAATGGGGGAAAGGGACCCCGTGAATTAGAGTAGGTTGGGAAAAACTTCATGTGGCCCCATCTTCTTTTTTTGTACACCGTGGGCCTCTTCCAGACCCCCCCCAAAACTGAGCCCAAAATGAGAATTTATTACCTGACATTTTGTTTGTTTCTCAAATGCCCTCAAAACGTGAATTTACAAAACTAGAAGTACTGTAGATTTCTGGCCACCTCAGCTTTTATTTTTTTTGGAGTGGTTCAGCCTGCAAAGGGTCCCAGGATGGAAAATAATTTTGAATATCTCCAGACCTTGCCCACCCTTGAAACAGGAGCTGTACTGCTTTCAATTCATCTCTTCATTCCAATGTGGACTTTTCCCAGCTGCTTCTTCTGGCTTGTCACTATTTGTTGCATAGAAGACTCTGCCATTTTGTCTACGTGGCATGAGATCCATGTACATACTGGACCATTTTTACCCATATGAGCCCCTGTTCCAATTGAGGCCATTTTGTATCTGCCTTTCTAAAGATGCCCACTATTTAAACTGTCCAGCTGGAATGTATGAGGAAAATATATTTCCATATTATTGCCCTCATGGTCTGGAATTTTCTTCTGGAATCCCTGCAAAGTATGATATCCCTGCAGGGAATCTGGAGGAGACGTAACAGGGAGCTGCTTCAGCAAAACTTTGGACGTTACGAAGCTACTGCTCCACCACTTATGTGGCAAGCATTATACATATGTATATAAAATAACATTGTCTAGTGGGCTTTAGGTTGTTGCCAACTTTTATTTGTATTTTTACCACTCGTGTATTTTTTATTATTTAATTGTTTGCTATATACCGTATTTAAAAACTTTAAACATTTATGTCTTCTAGAATAGAAGAGAGGGGCTTTGAGAACTACAGGGAGATATTTGAACAGTATATGAAGTTTGGAACATGTGAGTAGCAACCTTATATTGATTTCAAAAGCCAAGTAACCCCTCCTGTTATCATCCTGTACTGCTCCCACCGATCCATGAACCAGTCCCATGCACATTTTCTCATTTGAAATTCCTTTCAGTTTAAGATTCCCCCCCATCTCTGGGGGAAAAAAACAAGAGATAAACCTTCCAGAGATACTGGAGTGAAGAAGTCTGGAGCCTGTTTTTACTGTGGTACCTTGGTATAGTTTATTTTCTATCTTCTCTTGAGTTCCATTTAGAATGAAATAAATTCCTTCCAGAGACTGCATACAAGTTACCATGTTTCCCTGAAAATAAGACAGGGTCTTATATTAATTTTTGCTCCAAAAATGCATTAGGGCTTATTTTCAGGGGATGTTTTATTTCTTTCATGTACAACTATCTACATTTATTCAGATAACAGTCACGTCGTCATCTTCTGGTTGCTACACAATGGTGGAGGGTGGGATTTCACTTAACTGGGGCTAATTTTTGGGGTAGGGTAGGTATTACAAACATCCTGAAAAATCCTACTAGGGATTATTTTCAGTTTATGGGGAAAGAGGGTATATACTGAATTGTTTGAGCAAAATTTTAAAACTGTTTCAGGTATCAAAATTAAATTCAAATTATCAGCCCACCCACCAAAAAAAAAGGTTTCCCTTAAGAAACAACGGCCGCATCCAAAAGAACTACTGAAGATAGACACGGAGTTCCAAGCAGAGCAATTAAAGGCAAGTAGATGTATTGTGACTTACTTAAGCAATGGCTTTTCAGTGTCCTACTGCTATGGGAAAAACTCAGAAAGTGGGCTTGCATCAGCTGTGTTCAAGGTTCTCTCTAATCTTCAGCCCTGCTGGGTGGGGCTCCGACCCTCATGCTTGTGCCTCCACCCCACCCCACCCCGCATGTGGGGTTCCAGTGTGACCGGAACCCAAGAGGCTGGAAACTGTTGCTGTGGGTGCATGGAAGAGGGGGAGGGATGCTGTGCGGAGGGGGGCAGAGTCGCACACAGCCGTGCACCTTAGAGGGAACCTTAGTTCCAGTGTGACCGGAATCCAAGAGACTGGAAACTGTTGCTGTGGGTTCATGGAAGAGGGGGAGGGATGCTGTGTGGAGGGGGGCAGAGTTGCACGCAGCCGTGCACCTTAGAGGGAACCTTGGCTGTGTTTCATTCCATACCCATCCCTTCTCTAAAAAGAAAGTTTCTGTATCCCATGCACCCTTTTACACAGGTGTCACCTGAGTAGGCAGGCATTGTGCTGTAAGTGGCTTCTATCCTTAGGCCTAATTTTATAAAATTAAAGCAGTCAGTTCAGTCCTCCGATAACAGTAATCTGTTTTTCCCCAACAAGTCAGGAAATGGAACTGAATGAGAGAGAGAGAGAGAGAGAGAGAGAGCACGTTGTGTAGTCTTCTCCTCTGGCCCACCCACTGCAGAGGTGCAGTCCTGAACCTATTATCCATGGGCTAATGGAGACTTCTTTGGAAAAAGCTTTACTCACAGACCCTACATCCAGTGTAGACTGGAGGCTGTGCTTACTTCCCTGTGTCAGGAAACACTGTGGTTTAAATCAACTGCACACTCTTCCCCAACCCAAGCAAAACACCTTCCTCAATCTCTCTGCCTTCCTTCCTTTTGAAAAAAGAAAAAGAAAGGTGCTAGTTCTGCCAGCAGAAGAACTCATGGACTGCAAGGAGACAGGAAAAAGAAGACTTCACACTGTTCACAGAAACACAAGGATGCCTTTCAACACCTTCCTCAGGCCATGTACATTTTTAGAGGGTCCCTGGAAAGCGCCCAGTCTTGACTTGCTCTCCTGCTCTTCTTTTTCTTCTGCTTTTTTTGGTCAGATTTGCAATCCTGTCCTGCCTGTGACAAGATACTATGCTGATGGAAAGATATTCTTTTTTCTCTTTCCAGATGGAACTGGCCAAGTTTAATATCCTACAATAACCAGGCTTTCTGTTAGAATAGTTTGATAGTGTTTTAGCTCAGTTTTTTCTGCAATAAAAAACTGACTGTTTATAATTTGTTGTGATCCATGCCTAATGAGCCATAGCCATGAGGTTTTTGTGTATCTCAGTGTGCTAGCGGTGTATTTGTGTATAAGGGAGTGAAAAGGAACAGTGTCTGTGTGCATATGCTTCTTGGTGTGACTGTATACTGAGCAGTGTGTGTTTGTGTGAGCAACATGAGCAAAATGTTGATTTGTGTCTGCATGTAACTGATGTCTGCATGAGCAGCACTTGTTTTTGTACAAGAGTTGTTCATGTTTGTGAGCACACACATGAGCCTACAGCAGGGCTGGGCAAAGTGTGGCCCGAGGGCCACATACAGCCCGTGAGCCGCTCCTGTCCGGCCCGCGGACAGATTTGAACATCAAAACCATTTATAGCTTTTTGTCTAAAGTTGATCAGTTGCTTATCTTTAAGATCATCCGTAAGTGGAGTGTGTGTCTCGGAGTAAGGTGGTGTGTGAGCAGTGTGTTTGTATTTCAGGGAAAGTGTTTATGAGAGAGTACAATACTTGTGTATGTACTAAGCAAGGGGTGTGTGCCTGGGTCTCAGGGTGTGCATGTGTTAGTGAATAGAGTGTGTGGACTCATGTGTCCGTAAATGAATTGTGTATATGTGCATAAGTTTATTCAGTTCTTTTTAAAAAAAACCTCCCTTTTATGAATGTGGGATATTGTGTTTCTGTACCCATTAGTCAAAAAGTCAGGAAATGGCCCAATATACACAGTATTGTTTCTGTGTTGCCAAAAGGAAAAATGATGCCAAGCTTTAGATAGCAAAGGGCATCTCGAATGTTGACAACACCAATGGCAGCACTCAGGATGGGTTTACAGGATACCCTCTTCTGCTCACTACCATTCACACTTGTTCAAAAACAGCCCTGACAATTGCTTTGTGTTTGGTTGAGAAGTGGTTAACTGATGAAAAAAAGGAGTCTGCTTCTGTGATTTTCCCTTTTGTGGTGACACTTTGTGGATTGTAGTGGTGCTGGGGGACTCCTGTTCAACACCTTGGCATTAGCCTGTGGAGTGTCTCAGGGTTCCATGATTCCACATACTATTTCACATATACATGAAAAACCTGAAAGAAGTTGTCCAGAATTTTGTGGTCTAGTACCACCAGCATGCTGATGACACCCGACTCAAACTGGGTTTTAAGCTCTTTCAGGAGACCCCAGTGTGTGGTCACCCAACCCCCATTTCACCTTAGAATCTGTTTTAAAGTTGTCAGAGTTTCGAGTCACTTGGTTCTACACAGGCTAAAAACATTGTTTCAATTTTAAAAGTCAGAACTTGAAGACCCTTTGCCCAAATTTCCTTGGAGTTCGCATAGAGCAGGAGCAAAACTGTCTTCTTGCACTGTACCAAATTTAATGCTGCTCTGAATCTCAGTTTTTGTGTTAGAAATTTTTGTTTGGACTGCCACCCTATGTAGAGTTACCTGGTAGAATGTGTTTTTTTCCAGCTGCGCAAATATCATGACCATGCTCTCGCCTGGTCACAATGAATAATGATTGTAAGTGAACAAAGTTTGCAAGTAAAGAGGACATATATGTGTGGGTCTGTGTGTGTTTGAATGGAGAATGCTACTGTGTGAGTGACCTAGATCTCTGAGTGGCATGTTTGTGCCTGCATGTGCATCTAAATGATGTGCCTGCCAGCCAGCCTGCCAGCTACCTAGTTACCTACCTACTTAGTGTTTAGAATGTGTATGTCACATGTGAATATGAGTACATACTCCTATTGAGGACTGATGCTATTATAAGTGTAATTGTATGAACTGTGGGGAATTACCTTTAATTAATGAATTGTCACTCATGTTCCTGGTCACACTCCAAGGCCACTTGACTGATACTTGACCAGGAATCAGAGTGGCAATTCATTAATTAGTAGCAGTTTGCTAACACCGTCTATTCTACTACACTTTCACCGGTGTAAATCCCCAACAGGATTTTTGCCAGTAAGTTTGTGATGAAAATTGATTCTATGATTTCTGCAGGTTATGCACTATGGATTTTTGAACAGATTTGCAGAAAAAATAAAGAAAATGTTCACAGGATGGAAATTAAACCATTTCATGTGGCAAAATTTATTATTTCAAAAATGAAAAAAAGCATCAGTATACCTGGCGAGAGCTTGGAATAATATAATCAAAACATGGTATACTTAGCAATTATCTTAAACAGTCCCTTATAATTATTAACATTAACAAATTAAAATCTTGATCAACCTTAATTAATACAAACATTAAAGCATTATTTTTAAATGGTCATTTCCAACCTATGTAATCTATCGCTATCTGTAAACAACAAAGAAAACTAGCATGAAATGAATATGTGAAGACCTTTTGTTCCTTAGCTATTCATCAGCTATCCATCAGGTAATATTGCTATCCTCATTACCTATGAAAGGGATGTTCAGTTCACATACATCGTTCTGAGTGACAGCAGTTCGCATGCAGTACAGGCTTTCTTCACAAATCAAGGCTATGCAGCATGTTACCATCAAAATGGAACTATTCAGTAAGTAGAAAGACAGCCTTCAATAGTAATTTTAAAATTACATAGAAGAGGGGAGAGGTAAGTCTACACTCTTAATTCTCTGCAATGTCTTGACTGGTATCTATGTATCTAGCCATGAATCGGAGGGTGACTATGCAGGCATTTGGCTTCTGTTTGGTTTGCTGTGAGAACATGTGATTCACTCCTTTTGCTGACTATCAGACAATGTAATTGCTAGAATGAACTCACCTGCCTCTAGAGTGTACCTACCAACATGTTTCTGAATCCCTGTCAGGGGCTATTTTTTAGGGGTGGGTAGGATCACTCAATTTTCGTTTGCTACCAGCATGTGTAGTCACAGGGATCAAACCAAAGCAGAGCTTTCTGCTTTAATGTCCCAGCTAGTTTCTATTTCCCAGTATTGTTAGTGGCTTAAACAGACAGCATAACCACTTAATGATATTGAGAAGTTGGGAAATTAAAAACTTTATTCCTCTGCTTCTCTATGGAGGGGCAGAGGGAGGAAGTAAAGTTTTTTAAAGAAATCAATTAGGGCAGCAACAGTGTGCTGTACCTTTTCAAAATTGTTGTAAATTGAAAGCTTCCTTGCAGAAGCAGGAGGGGGCAAGGAAGTGATTTTCTTTTCTTAAGGGAGGTGGGTCAAATAGGGTCACTTGAGGTACATTTGCAAGTGTGGCGTTCACCCCTCATGCCCCTTGCCTGACCCTCCAAACACAGAGCACACAAAGGCAAACTACTACTCCTTTTTACCCTGCTGCCACCAGTTGATCACTCTATCAACATTACCGTAATTTTCCGTGGATAAGACCCCCCTTGTATAGGATGCCCCCCACTTTTCTAACCCCGTAATTTTTCGTGGATAAGACCCTCCCATGTATAGGATGCCCCCCACTTTTCTAACCCCAAATTAAGAAATCTAAGTGGGGCTTAGCAAGTATAGGGGGGAAGGGATCAAAGCACTGTAGGATCACTTTGATTCCTGCTTTCCCCTCCACTTGTGTTTGTTCTCTCCTCAGCTTACTTCTGTATATAAGACAACCCTCAATTTTTAGTCTAAAGATTTTAGACAAAAGTATAGTCTTATACACAGAAAAATATGTTAATTATGGACACTTCACTGTCTTTTAAATAAAAAATTTTATTGATTACAGATGTTATTATTAATCATAGATAACATCTATTATCAATCATAACCTTCTATTTGTTATTACAGTTCTTATTCACTTTTCATTCTAATCACCTCAGATGTCCCAAATACCACACTCTATCTCCTTCTTCACTCTCTCCCTCCCTCCCTCTCTCTCTCTCTGATTCTGACTGACTCTTACTGACTGACTGATTCTCTGACTCCACCTCTTTATTACATCTCTCTCGGCTCCGCCTCTCAGCAACATTAGCTTGAAACATGAATATTCATAACTACTTAACATAATAAGGGTAAATGCTACAGCAAGGATCATACCACATGGCATACTGGACCTTGTAGCGGAACCCAAAAGATGACGTCATTCCTGCATGTCAATCAGAGGGTAGAGCAGGAGGGGCGGAGTCAGAATGACAGTTAAGACAGCTGGAAGAGACAGTTGAAGACAGTTGGAATCAGAGAGGGATAGGGAGAATTAGGGACAAGAAGATGGGGAGAGAGTGCTAGGGTTTAGGAATAGCTAAAAAGGGTTGAGAAAGGAAATTGAAAGAGTAAAATATATTGAACAAGCAGGAATGAACACATAAGCATAACATGAGAAATACCAGTGACTGAATACATGATCTAATATATGCACACCGGACGCAGTTATATATATTTGATTCTCCTTATGATTTTGTTCATTAATAAAAGAATATTTGATAAAACCCTTGATTCCTAACTTATATGAGCAGCTCCTGTGTGTGGGAATTGTAGTGGGATTAGGAGAAATACCTGGTGGCAGCGAAAAGAAGGAAAAAGGTGTGTTTACCTTTGTGGAGCCCAAAGGAAATAAAGGGGCAACAAGGAGGATCGCCACAGACCTCTACCCATCTTTTAGCAACTCTATTTAGTCTGTACAAGCCCACCTCAAATGAGCCATCTAGCTGAGTCCTCAGTCTATCAATCTATCCATTTCATTTACCCAAGATTCAAAAAGAAATTTCAGGTTGCAAGTTTTCTGTCATGGTGTTCAAAGCTTATTTCAAATGTAAAGAGTTCAGTGTTCTTAGTCATATAAATAAAAAATATACTGTAGTGTATTTGTGAGTGTTAGTCTGAATTTTCCTTAGCTGCTAGCAGTAATGGTTGAAATCCACAGTACACAGCAGTTTAAGCACAGCATTAAAAAAACCACAGAGTATGAATTGTAATCTCCCTAAAATGTTTACTGTATAAAACATATATGTAGAATAAACTAACAATATTTGAAACACTTGTACTTGATACATAGACATGCTTGACAATCTTATACTGGTATAATTTCTTATCAGTAAGGCGAGGATTTCTGTGTCCTAAAAATGTCAGAAATATACAAGCATTTTACCTTAAAATTGTTTAAATATGATCAATTAAACCAAAAATATGACTTTACAATTTTTCTGAAATTAGCACCCAATTTTTAAAAATCTGTGCTTATACATAAACATAACATTTAAAAGGTTTCTTCTTCTTCATTTCCAGTACAGAAGTTCTAGTATTGAAGGAATCAAATAAGCATTTTGCTCATACCTGGATTAGTCTTCAACAACAGCAGAATTGCATTGGATGATCATGTGCAGCTTGAGGTTATCAAACTCAAAACTCCTTCTGTTGTCCATCATTATATTCTTGTATCTCTTGTATCATTATATTCTTGTACTGAATAGTAATAATAAAAATCTATATTCTTGTATGTCAAGAGGTGCAATTTAGTTACTTATTTTGCAAAGTGTTGAATAACACAGATTAGATTGCAGCACTCTTTGGAGTTTATCACTAATTTTTCCAAACACTTTCTATTTTCCTCACTTTAAATTACTTTCAGTTTGTTTCACAATTTACAGTGCATCAGTAAATTCCTTTCCTAGTTTCAAGGCAGATGATTGCTCTTGATAATCTACCGAAGTTAGATTTTATATATGCCACGTTTCCCGTCAAGGTTTCAGAAAAGCAGTCTTGTACAATTTTGATGGAGGAAGGTTCACAACAGTCAGATTCTTTAACTATATGCTGCAAGGAATCATAATTTGTGAAATAATATATAGCCACAACTAGTCAAGACCCCCAATGTGTCACAACAGGTTGGGAACGGAGAGCCAAAGTAGTAGCAATTTCTTTGAACTTTTGTACTGAAAGTGGAGTCTTAATGGACATTTTTTCCCATTTGAAATTATCTACATCAGGATAGTTGTTTCGAACTTCTTTGGTCACTATGTAAACTAGGTGCAAGGCAGATATGGATCATTTTCGTATAAAGAGGTTTAGGTCTCTTCACTGCCCTAGGCATGTATGTATAGAGTAGTGTCTGTTACAAAGAGGAGGATGCTTCCCCTTTTTACACCATCCAGAGTAGTTTCATAAAATCATCAAAGAGCATAGCAATAGTGGAATTGCTTACTTTTTGTGGAGTTTCACATGTTGGAAGAAATACCTCACCAGGCTTGTCACATTTTAGAGTACCAATAATAAGATTAGCTATGTATTTTCCATTTACATCACTTATTGAAACTCACATCTTATAGTTGTCAACTGCAGATCTTATCTTTCCTAAGACATCTTCCTAGCAGGCAGAGGTGTAATTTTTCTTTACAGTTGATTTTTGGAAGTCAGGTGACTTGCGTGCTATTTCAAGAAATGTCTGACACTACCACTACCTAATATCTTTAACTGAATATCTGGACCAACCATAATTGTACAGAGATCCTTACAAATTCTGTTTGGGTATTTGATGAACCTGCAGTTGAAGAAACTCTCTCAAAAAAGGAGAAATTGCCTCTTCTCTTTGTAGGTAAATCTTGCTGAACAACTCATATGTTTTGTGGTATCACAATTGTGGTGTTCACCCTCGTGGCCCCTGTTTGTCTCACTAAACACAAAGCTCACAAAGGCAAACCAAAACACCTCTTGACACGCTGCCGCCAGTTGATCTCTTTGATCAGCCTAGTTTACTTAGAAAAGACGAAGGTCCATCCAGTGTTGATGTTTCAACAGAACAAGTTTATTAATTACAGCTGGTTTCTGGAATAATTCCTAAGCATATTCTTCAAGTTTCATCAAGCTTTAATATTAACATTCTATAGTAATTATCACAATTTACACTCAGAATAATCACTCCTCATACCCCTCCTTCTCTCTCTGATTCCTATCATAGTCTCTACTCACTGACTTAGACTAGACTGATTCCTCCTCTCTCAGGCCCCACCTTTTAACATCTCTTTCGGCCCCACCTCTTAACCACATTAGCATATAACTCATGAATAACACATAACATTGCATAACAAGGGTGAATGCTACAACAATGTTGGTGAATTTATTAAAATGCTTTGTGGCTGACACCTTAACTTTACACAATTTACAAAATGTCATAATCACTACTGAAAATCCACTCCCCAAACTCTTGAACAAAACGCTATAATTTTACACTTGCCAAACATCTACTTTTAGGCAAGTTGAAATCATCTGGAGGGTTGCTATTGACCAAAATGTGACCAAAAATATAACGTTTAATATAAAATTAAGCAGACAAATCATGCAACACTTCAAGAAGGTCAAAATGTGACTTTCCATGCAAAATAAAAACCATGTGATTCTCATCAGATTACCCATAAACATGTTTTAACTTACTTATAAATTCAAATAAAGGTTGCAGAAAAAATATAACGTCATAAAAATCCTCACCCTACTTTTAAGACATAGTAACTACTTCTAACAGACATTTCTAAATGACAAACTATTCCTAGACTATTGACAACTAACTGAATAACATAACTGTCACTTGCTCTATCTGGCAGTTAGCCCTCTTAACATATGTTGGCTAATGTCAGACAGAATCTGATTGGTCAGAATGCTCCACCATGCAAATAACACATTCCAATCTTTCCTGTGCACACATATGCGCTGCTTATATACCGCCCCATAGCGCTTTATGCACTCTGGGCACTTTACAAGTTAATTATGCAGGCTACACATTGCGCGCCCCCAGCAAGCTAGGTACTCATTTTACTGACCTCAGAAGGATAGAAGGCTGAGTCTACCTTGAGCTGGCTACCTGGGATTTGAACCCCAGGTCGTGAGCACAGTTTTGGCTGCAGTACAGGAGTTTAACCACTGCGCCACGAGGCTCTTTCTCATGTATATATGTACATGCCGAGTTCCACAGATATACAGTCCAAAAATAATAACTGATTATTATGACTGATTTTGCCTAATGCAATGTGGTGGTTTCACATGAAGAACATACCATTCTACAAGTTGCAGGAAAAGGTGTTGCTGTTCTGTTGACACACATCCTTTTTTGGCTTCTGTCTGAATTCCTAAAGAAAGCAGCTCTGCAAGCCTGCATCAACACTTGGAAGATCTGCCTTTGCAGAGTCCTGTGATCCTATCATGAAAGCTTCTTTCTTCCCATCCCTAAAACCGTTCTGCAGCTATTTAAAATTTTGCAGCTCAAAAAAAAAAAAGACAGGTAATAATATAGTATTTCAAAATAATGTTTTAATTATTCTAAAAGTAATATATTTAAAACACAGGCAGGGCAGGAACAATGCTGGTAGCTGTGTAAGCTTTCGATTAATAGACATGTATATTTTCATATATTGGAAGAGGCTAGCCTGAGCATATGGGTTGTCCCTTCTATCTGGCTCCACCATCAGGGATGAATTAATCAATCAGGTTATCACCAGGGCTTCCTGAAGAGGGAGAGGACAAGTCATCTTTATCACCAGCCCCCAGACAAGAAATAAAGGTAGGACAAGCAAACAAATAGGAGTCAGCAAAAGGAGAGGGAATCTTAGACGTCTCCACAGAACCAAAACCAGAAGCACCGCCTCAGAGGATGTCTTATTTCCATTACATAAAATGAGTGTCTCGTGGTAACCATCTGTGTTCCTTTTTCCTGTAGTTCATGGGGACATCTATCTTTTTCTCTCCTTCCCATGAATCCTGTTTGTTTGCTTGACATACTTTTCTTTCTTTCATGGAGACAAAGAATGGCAGGAAACATGGAAAGAAAAAAAAGGGTAGTTCTGCCAGAAACTTTTGTGGGTTTTTGTGTGTGTGTGTATGTTTTAAAGAAATAAACTAGAGCAGAATGGAACAGATTGGGTGCCGTTTTGAATTGTATTACAGTTTAGCATCCTATGCTACAATAGGAGGAACAGATTTGTCCTAGTTTTTCTGAGGGGGGTTATTGTGGTTTATGAGAGAAGAGCCCACTATTCTTTCATTTAATTTGTATTCAAACAAAATGAGACCTAAATCACACTTTTTCTCCCACCAACTCCCATTAACCATTGTTTTATGTTAGCTTTTAATCCTTTCAGAAGGAAAAATAATTTATTTCATAAAGAGTGGAAGATTAAAGCAATCTGAAGGAAATCAAGTAGGATTAGATTGAGATGTTCCCTCTAAATTAATTCCCAATGCACCCAACTATTTGGGGCAAGGCTCTCCCCCCCCATGCTCTGGGCTACTCCTTTTTGGAGGCTACTTCCAATAATAACTATATCCACCCTATTGAAGAAATCCTTCCTAAAACCCCATCTTTTTAACTAGCTACCATGTTTCCCCGAAAATAAAACAGGGTCTTAATACAGTATTAATTTTTGCTACAAAAATGCCTTAGGACTTATTTTCAGGGGGTGTTTTATTTTTTTCATGTACAACAATCTACATTTATTCAAATACAGTCATGTCATCTTCTTCTGGTTGCTGCACAATGGTGGAGGGTGCGGTTTCACTTAACTGGGACTTATTTCTGGGGTAGGGCTTATATTACAAGCATCCTGAAAAATCATACTAGGGCTTATTTTTAGTTTATGGTTTATTTTTGTTGAAATGGTAAAATATTCCTAACTGATGTACCAATGCATAGTGAAGTCAGTCTATAAATAAAAACAGCTAATTTCACACTTCAGGGATTTTATTTATTCAGGCAATTATCTCGGCTTTCCTCCAAGAAGCTTAGTATGACATGCATGGTTCTCCCTCCTCTTTTATCATTGTAACAATCCTGTAAGGTCAAGTTGTGCAGAAAGATATTGATTAGTCCAAGATCCTCATGTGATCCTCACGGCTCAATAAAGATATAAACATACACCTCACCAGTCTGAATGGGATTTTAACCACACTGGATCTCAGTGTACAACATAAGATATTTGCTGAGGTTCCCCTATATTGACACAGAGTGAGAACAGATGGGATTCATTCCATCTCTGCAGTGCTGTGATTTTATCTCCAAAGGTAGCAAAAATAGCTTAGTTTTGGTAAAATAGCAAAACAAAATAGAACAAAAATATACTGTTACTAGGGTACAAAGTGAGTATGATACATCAGCTGAAATACAGTGGTGTATAGCTATGCTGCATAAGGCTGGTGGTGTCATTAGCCATGGCCATTTTTCAGGAATTAAAAGTTTGCAATCCAACCCATCCCCCATGTTCTGAGGCTCCCTTGGATCCTCTTCAGCCTAGTGAGGCCCTTGGGGATGTGGGGGAAAAGTATTTAATTTCTGGAAATTGCCACCAGAGGAAATTGTTTTAAAGGGAACCTCAGAAGCACAAGAGAAGGGGCAGCAATTAGAAACTTTTAGTTCCTGAAAAAAGGCAGCGGCTGATGACATCATCAGACTTATGCAGCATGACTTTTCGATTTCAGCTATTGGGTAGATAAAAGTGCAGTGTTTCATGTACAGTCATGCCCCACTGGACGATTACCCCGCTCTATGACAAATCCGCATTACGTTGATGTTTTTGCGATTGCTTTTGCGATCGCAAAACGATGTTTTAAATGGGGGAATTTTGCTTCACGTTGATCGTTCCCTGTTTCGGGAACTGATTTTTCGCTTTACAACTATCAGCAAACATGTGATCGTCGGCTTTCAAAATGGCCCCCGCTGTTTTCTAGGACGGATTCCTCGCTATACAGGCTCCAAAAATGGCCGCTGTATGGAGGATCTTCACTGGACAAGCAGGTATTCAGCCCATTGGAACGCATTAACCGGGTTTTAATGCGTTTCAATGTTTGTTTGTTTTTTTCATTTGACGATGTTTTCGCTCTACAGCGATTTCGCTGGAATGAATTAACATCGTCAAGCAAGGCACCACTGTACAGTGAAAAATGTACAAGGTAGCTTTTCACAAGAATTTTGGCAAGTTCTTGGGTCTGAATCCCAAGTCCGAGTCTTTGGTACCAAGTCCCGAGTCCCTATTAAAAACAAACTTGTGATGCGACTTAGGTCCAACTTGACAGTGAGTCCCACGATTCAAGTCCCCATCCCTGGCTTTACATAAGTAGACTAGTGAGTATAAGTTTATCTTCTCTTCAGATTTCTCTTCTGGATCATGGAACAGTTTTCTTAATAGAGGGAATAATAGTTACTGGTAATAGTAATTAACTAAATATACTTTCCCCCACATCCCCAAGGGCCTCACTAGAATGAAGAGGGAGAGGCTTGCCCGAAACAATTGGGTGCATTGGGAAGTAATTTAGAGTGAATATCTCAATCTAATTCTACTTGATTCTCTATTTGAAAGAGGCAATTGGAATGAAGCCTGCTGCTTTCCAGTCCATCTGCTGTGTCCCTGCCCACCACACTCAGACACTCATTTGAGGAATCAGTGACAGGACACCATGACCTTGCAGCTCCCTGCATCCCATGTGCCACACTGGGAAGCTGACATGGAAGCTACCATAATGCATATGCTTGAGCACCAAGTAAGTCTGGGTCCCACATTCTATTTTTATCTTTTTTTAACCACTTCTCCTTAATTTCTTATCCTTGGATACTTCTATATAAGGGCATCCCCAGGAACAGAGGGTGCCCTCAGACTGTAGCCCAGTTGAAGTTCTTATAGAAAGTCAAGGGGCAGCAAACTCTTACCATGTCGGGTGAATGTGTTTTAAAGTTAGCTTTGGTTTGGGATTTTGCTGCCTTGTCTGTTCTTCCAACCGAATTACACCAGGAACTGAACAGTCCCCCCCCCCATATGTTTCAATTTGGTTGCTTTCTATAGGGTGTCCTTGGACCTTTGCACTGGCTCCTTCTTCAACTGGAAAGGATTAAGAAAGAAATATTGGAACTGGTGGGACACCAGCAGTCATGTTCACGCACCTCCTTTCCAACCCATCTGCATTCAACTAAATGTTTACATCCAGGTTAAAATTGAAGCTCAGGATCAGATCTTCCTAACATTTACTAACTTTCATCACTGTCTTAATCTAAATGTTGGCGCACGGTTAAAAGTAAGTCATTTTGACCTTCTTGTTTGCCTATATAATCTGGGAATCTTAACTACCCTCCCTCCAGGATGTGAAAGCAGAGAGAATACAAATAAAAGCTGCTTTCAAATGGAAATCTAGAAGCTGCTCTCAAATTAGGAGGCATCAGCGAAGACTATCATGTGCCTGTATAATTTATCTCAGTCATGTCTCACACAGCAAGCTGTATGGTATTCTTCCCTCATTTTTTAAAAAAGGGGGAGATTGGTTGAACCTACAAAGAAAGGCCCAATCTGTACATTGCACATACTGAACATAGAACATTGGTGTTTCTAATGTTTATCTATGTAAAAGCTAGAGTTGTTTAAAAAAAAAAAAAAAAAAAAAAAAGATCTGTACATTGCACTTACTGAACATAGAACATTTCTGTTTCTAATGTTTATCTATGTAAAAGCCAGAGTTTTTTTTTTTAAAAAAAACACTTTCAGGGGAGCTTGCCACTCCAGAATGTCCCTGTGGCCATCCTGACTGGGACATGCTGGGAGTTATAGTTCAGAAAGAGAACTCTTTGAAGCTCTGGTGAAAACTGCAGATAAAAAGTTGAACTGTTTACCACAAGATTCCTCCTATTAAGAAATGCAGCAGGGCATTCTACTGCTGTCCTGTGACAGAACCTTGGCCAATCAGTATGGTAATGGGGGAAACAAGGTGATTGGCTGCGGGGTGCAGGTGGCCAGCTTATTTGAGAGAGCCTGAAGGAGAATGGGCCTGGAAAGTTAAAATGGAAGGAGGAGAAGGAGTGTAACCAAAGGAGGAGGTTGTGTTTGGGCAGTTGGGCTGTAACTGAAAAGCTGATGCTGAAATCTGTTTCCCTATAAGTCATCATTTCATAATAAAGAGAATATAATTTTCCATTCTTTAACCACCTGGTCTAATATGATTAATGGTTGGAGTCAAGCCTTTTAAAGGAAAATTATTTGAGAAGTGACAAGCCTTGGTAGGGGCCAGTCACACCTTCCCTATCATGAGAGGCTTTGTAAATTAAACAAAACTCAATTGAGGAAGACTTCTGGTTTCCCAAAGAGGAACTGGGAAGATTGGGAATCAAATCTCCCATTCTGTTTACATCCCTTCACATTTTTAATATACCCCAGTGGAGGAAAACTGTACAGGAAGTGGCACAAAACAGGGCTGTTCAAAAGGGTTATGAGCCTGGAGGGAAAGCCAAAAAAGTATCTCTGTGGTGGGAATATGAACACATCTTGCCAATGGTCTTGACAGAGTCAATGATTCTCAAGAATTCTCCAGCTGCTGTGAGGGTTTGTACCTCCATCAAAAGGCTGAGATACCTAAAGCTTTCTTCTGTCATTTTACATAATTTGTGCCAAATATGTTTAGCACATTTTCCTTTTCTGAAGCCAGGCACTCAGGCACAGCAAGTTAAAAATGACATGCTGGTTATACAAAAAGCCACAAGCAAATCACCAGTGAGTCTTTCTAAAAGTCCGTGAAATGTTGCAACTGTTAAATCTATGCATTAATGAATCCACATAATGTGCAAATTCTGAGACTGGGAGAATACTTTGCTGTCCACTTTCTCCTTCCCCACTTTCTTATTTTGTGCACACGGATAAGCCAGGTCAGAGTTCATGACCCTAACCAAGTGAAGGGAGAATGTTTATGAAATAAGAATTTAAATTAGTAAAACCCAATTTTCTTCAGGAGAGTTTTACTATTTTGAGATATACTACCTACGGGTGAGCTCATGGGCAACTTCCGGAAGGTCATATATGCCCATCTCCAGACCTCAGAGGGCTGCCCTTTTACTATGCTCCCCATGCCCCACTGAAAAAAACTCCTAAATATCATTTATGCCTTCTAAGGGCCCTAGGACAATTTGTTACTTTCTGTCCTCCTTCCACATTATGCTGTTTCAGACCTAAGATGGGCCTTTTTCAAAACTTGCTGGGACCAATAAGAAAAGGGGATTGCAAAAAACAAGGTGTTGGCAACTGCATACTTGTTTTATTGCAAAAGGGAGAAACAGTATACGTAGGAAATAACCAAGCAATTGAGATTTTTGTTTTTAGATAACATGGATTAATGCTCATAATGTGGATTATTGTGAGAATATAAAATTAACTTAAATAGATCACAGAGAAAGGGCATTATGAATGAAGTTCCATTAAGGAATTTGTCATTATACTATCTAATTATTAGCCTCTCTATGACATTATGCTTTGGTTTTATTATCATGATACAATGTTTCAAGAAATTATGAATTCTCAGTATGATTTGGGCTCTTCTTCAGGTTGACACATAACATGTTGAGGTTATTTCCCCTTTCTGGTGTCCAATTGGTTGCTGCTGTGGTTTCAGAGGACTGCCTTTGTATTTTGCCTTGTAGTCCTCTCCTTCTCTGTCTGCACTCAAGACAATGAAGGTATCTCCATTATTTTGCCGTAGGATAGGAATTTAGTGAGGCATAGTTCTCAGTAGTATCCCATTTCTGTATAGTTGGTTGCTTCTGTAGGTAATGGCCACCCACAACTATTGGCTGCCATGCTGTCTGCTCCCAGCCTCAGTGGGCACTAGCTGCCACTGGTTATTGTTTTTTCCAATTCCCTGAGTGGGTTTCATACTCTGAACAATGTATAATGTAAAAACAATGTATAAACCAGCCAGCATAAATGCAGTTGCATTCTACATTTTCTATACTCAGGGTAGAAAGGGAAGACAAGGGACTGATACTTTTGCTGAAAGTAGGATGATGTTGTTTGCCAAAATGCCAGGACAGCATAACTTCTTGTTTTGGCAACATATTTGTCTGGAAAACAAATGAAACATCACAAGGCTTTCATTTTACAGCAGACACATTTATTAGAATCCTTATGCGTTTGTTGTCTTGACTGTTTGGTTTGTGGGGAAAATCTAATTTTTCTCCTCTTCTAATCTGGAATCTTTGCAGCTGAAAGATCCAAAGATGTTGCCTTTTCTTAAGGAACCTGAAACAAGTGATTCCAAGATTCAGGAGACCACAGCACTCTTAACAGACTTGAAGGAACTGTTGAAAAAGTTGTGTGCTACTTCATCTGAAAAAGCCAATGACCTGTATCTTATTGTAACAAACCTGTGTGACCAAATGCAGTGGCGGCGTAAAAGGGGAACTGAGGCTAAACAACGTGAAAGTGGGAAGCACATATTTCAAATCAGGAAAAGCTACTGAACCAGCTCTGTATGGGGGAAAAACATACTTCTGTTATTGTGTAGCTAATTCTACTTGCTACAACCTGTGCTGTTCTGCAGATAGTGTGACTGAAATTGTGCAATATGTATAAATAGCATATTATCATGAAGTGTTGTTATTCTCATGGTTTGACTGAGCCTTGAACTAAGGGATCATGGTAATTACAGCCCAGTACCTCTGTGGGCCCACCGGCTAGATGCCCAGCTTTTAAAGCGGGGAAAAACCCCAACAAACACAAACAAAAGAAAACAAGTCTTACACAGATGTATAACCTGAGATGATAATTGTTTTGTAAGAAGCAAGCCTGCTAATAATGCATTTCTGTGCACTCACCAAATGAAGTCATAGCTGTGCTAACTGCGATGGTAAGAACTAAGTGACAATCTAAGTGCAGAAATGACATCTTGGTTAATTTCATCCCAACATTCTAATGGAGATTGTTTTGTCTATGCTGACTCTGCCCCCTTTCATTTCTTAAACATGTCTTTTTAAATATCAGCTAATCAGAAAACTCCTTATGCACCTGCTGTATTTCCCTTAGATGTCTTCCACTTTTCTCTTTGAGTGTGTTTGATCATGGGATATGACCCAGTATTTACTGAAACCAGTTTCCTAAAGTCCATACTACTCTTTATACTATTCTCAGCTTTCCCTTTTCTAACAAATCTCAAAAAGGTATGGTCATTTTAATTTAAAATTCCCACTGTTTTCACCTTGTTCACCAGTTATTCCCTCTTACTTAGGACCAGGTCCAAGACGGCTGATCCCCTTTTTGCTTCTTTTACCTTATGGGAAAAAAGTTGTTAGCAATGAAGGTGAGGAATTTGTTGGAACTTGCACTCCTGACAGAGTTCGATTTCCAAGAGATACCATGATAGTAGTAACTTTCTTTTATTGCTGTATCTGTCCTCTTTGAATATTTTGTAATCTGATCCAGAAATGCATTATCCAGATAGGTAGGGGTCTGTAGCAGACACCATGCCCTTGTGATATCATTGTTGTGTAGTTCTCCTTTGATTTTCACCCAACTGTTCTCCATCAGTGTTCCGTGCTCCAAGTCATGGATCTTCTCATAGCTTCTGACACTCGTTATATATTGTGCTGTTCCTCCTGTCTTGTTGTGCATATTCCTTTAGAGAATGTGATATTCTTCCATCACTATATCCAGTTATTAATCTCATCCCACCAGGTTTTAATAATGCCCGTTAAGCAGTATTTGCCTTTCTGTGCTAAACATTCAAGCTCATCTTGTTTATTGCCCATACTCTGTGCATTGGTACAGAGACATCTGGAAACATGTGTTTTCCCCTCCTGCTGCAACTGAATATTTAACCGATTTGGAAGCAGTGTCATATTTCTCTAACATACAAGAAAATGTGTGAGATTATTTTTTATTAATGCATTCATTTTATTTACATTTCTAACATTTAGAATGGGGTCTGACATCCTTAAAGTACAAAGATAAACATATTTATAATTGGTAATATATATTATAAAATCCACTATTCTGTGAAAGAAAAGGGGGATCATTTTATGCACTGTGTGATCAACTGGTTAGACCATTTATTTCATACCACACAGAATTAAACCATTTTTACAGTGCAGCATTTTTGTTTATATAGTTCGTTATATTGCACTATATGCCTTATAACAAGAAATGTCTTAGTGTGACAAACAAAACCAGCATTCTCTAAAACATTCCAGAAAAACTGGACAAATAAGAATGACAGCCTCTGCCAAGATGCCTAGATAGCTGAAAGAGTGAATTAGAGTGAGTGGAAGATAATCGTCAGGTGGGCACACCTTGTAACTGATGTACAGCACTTTGTACAGCAGCTGCAGAATGCAGATATTCGAGGGCCACATTTGGCAAAATCTGGATATAGAAGTTTTTGGCTGAATATGAGGAAAATCTTTTAACTATTAGAACAATATGACAATGGCACCAATTATCTCAGGAGGTAAAGAGCGCTCCAACATTAGAGGCATTCAAGAGAACAATAGAAAACCATTTGTCAGATATACTGGATCCCTGCACTGAGCAGGAGGTTGGACTCAGTGGCCTTATTCTATGATTCTTAGACATCTTGGGTTTTGTTTTGTTTTTCTGTCTGATATGCTAGGTATGGAAGATATGATTCTTAAGCATCTTGGGTTTTGCTTTTCTGTCTGATATGCTAGGTATGGAAGAACGATTTTAGCTGTTGTTTAAAACATACCCTCACATAATATAGCAAGATTCATAAGCAATGGCAGTATCATTAGAAGGTGATGGTCATTTGTGTACAGCTTCTTATGTTCAAATGTTCATATTCACCTAATTGAGCCAACTCCAATCATAACTCTATAAAAAAAACAGAACAGAATCAGTCATACTCTCATGTGTTCTTAAAGCACTGAATACAGACAAGAAATCAGTAAGACTGTATTAGAAACTTAGGAGCCATATTTTCTCAAACTTAATAACTACATATTTTTCCCTGCATGTGATAATGCTTATTTAAAATGTCCACACTGTCCTATGGAAGCAAAAGCAGTCATGGCTTTTCAACGATTAGTTTACAGTGCAGCAAAATTATTGTTGAAACATCTAAAAGTTTCCCCTCAAAGTATATCTGTTTTTGAGATAGTTTATTTTCCCAACATTGAAACAACCACTACCATAGTTTGGACAATAAAATTTAACTGCAGTTTGAAATGTGATTGTATAAAGTATCTGTGGTATTACTAGTGATGCACAGCACATCCCTGAATGAATGCCACAATGTGTTTCTCATGGTGCAGAAGTGATGCACACAGAACCTGAAACTCAAAAGATATCAAAGCAATGTGTGGAGAATTTCCATGTCATCCATCTCATCCCGCCCCAAATGGGAGGACTATCTTGGAGACTTCCCAAGAGAAATCTGAGTGGATTTGAGTAGTCTATTGTTAAATAAAAGCTTATGACAAAATGGTACTATTGTTTAAAATAAAAGCCATACAAGTCTTTAAAAGCTTCAATATAATAGAGAATGGATTTCGACTCCAACATAGTGATTTGTAGGACACATGACAAACAAATAACATATCTGTCAACTGTCAGGATCGTGCACACTTCTCATTAAAATTCTGAAATATCAATACTGTATAAAACCAAAAGGAGGTCATTCTCTTAAAGACAAAAGATCATTAAAATATATGAGAAATGTTAGAGTAGTGAATTCATAAGGTGATTTTAATGGAAACTTTAAAACATTTCCAAAGACAGTCTCCCACATTCAAAACTAAAAAACAAAGAATGTTGCTGGAATATTAAAAGAACTGTAGATAAGACATAGTAAAAGTGTACTGACAAGGCTGTTGAAATTATTCATAAGGTAAGAACAAAAATATATTAGCCACCTAGAGTGGTCTGGTGGGCCAGGAAGGTAAGAACAAAAATATATTTTCAAATGCACTACCATCTAGAAACTCTTCAGCCAATCAAGCGTATGCTATGAGGAAGACAGGTTGCCTACTTATCTGTGACAGCAGAAAAGGCTGATGAAGGAGAAACAACTGAGAAATCTTGATGATTAAAATATTTGTTGCAGTAAAATCCACTATGGATTAGAGTCCACAGATATCTACTCTACAAAATCTGAAATATGTTAAACTACAATTCCCATCAGTCACTGTCAACATGGTAACTGTTTATAGAGGATAATGGTACTTGCAGTCCAACATGTTGGGGAAAAGCCCAGTTCAGAAGGCTGCTCTAGGGACATTAGTCAGGAAACTGGTACTTATCCTTCCTTCCCAGAAAGTGGAAATTCCACCACTATGTCATTTTAAAACTCTCCTTCTTATTCAAACCCTCTTCCCATTCACAGTCAATGCCAAAAGTACCTCACAGACTTACCATCATACTACTATTCTGGTCATGTTTTGCTTCTTGTATGACAGTACTAAAGTTGTCGAGGTAGTTTAGATTTTCTTCTATTAAATGTGCAAAAGACATCCTGTAAGGAAAAAAAGCAGGGGAAGGCAGTTTTAAAGTTGAAAGAACATTACCTGTACCATCTCCAGCTACTGGAATAAATAAAAGTTCTTAGTGAACATTTGATATTGACCATCCATTCAACTGCACTCTAGCAAACTTGATTTTGGACACTTGATGTTGTTTGCAGCAATTTCTAGAGATGTAATATTATTCTGTTGTAGCAAAAACAAAGAGTATTATAGCACCATTTTAATTTGATACAATTTTTCTTGGGATACACAGAAGGTTATGCCAAATAAAACTTAAATAGTTTTTATGGTGCCCCTGTTGTTTATGGGGGTTTACAAAGCAAAGGCCAAAAAATTTATATTTATTCTCTAATAGTCGCCTATGAAGTCCCATCCCATAATGATACTACAACATGAAGTACCAATGGAAATTAAAAAGCAAGAATTAATAAAAAGAACTGGTATGAATCTCAAAACAATTAGGAGGGTTAGGTCTTCCTAATTTAAAGGTATGTGATATAGCTAATCAAATGAGACATATATTGGGTTATATCTCAACCCAACAATTTAATATAGCTAAGGCTGAAACTGCAGGAAGTTGGAGAGTACCTCAAGATATTTTTAAAGCAAAATAATGAGTATTGCCAAAATTTTTTATTTAAAAGCCCTTTAAAAAATTTGTTAGTAATTTGGAATAAATATAAAAAAGAGAGGTTAGTTACCTGTAACTCTGGTTCTTCGAGTGGTCATCTGAGAATTCACAGAATTGGGTTTTAGTATGCCTGCGCAATGAGCCCAAGTAGACAAGCCCTCGGCTTGCTATTTTGGGCTTCTTCATGTATTTGTATACACTGCCTCATGGGTGTGAGGTGTAAGCTAGGTGGTATTGTTTCCTACTCCATCTCTGTCAGACTCAGAATTGGGAAAATCTAGATCTTGGGGACCAATGTTTCGCAACTGGGGGTTGTGACTCCCAAGGGGTCACAAGTGTTCTGGGATATCGCAGATCACATCCCAGAAAACACATAATGCAGAACACATTATGTCTTTTAACCTTGTTAAATAATTTCTTCCTTGACCTTTTGGAGTGGAATGTTACAGTGTGTATATAAGAGAAAAATGTATTTTAGGGGAGAAAGGAGCCTCTACATTCTGAGAAGGGATGACTTTACCCCATTAAAAATCCTTTTTAAGCAAATGTGGTGGAGGGGGGGTCACAGGTTATTCGACTATTATAAAAGGGGGTCATGACTCAAAAAAGGTTGGGATCCACTGCTCTGGACCATTTGGATGCAGAAAGTCCCTTCATTTGGATGCTGAGCATTCTACACAGAAAGTCCCTTACTGAGTGCTAGATTATCTTGGACACGGCAGGTATTGACTTTGCCTGTGACTTGATTGTGCACTGACTAATTTATGTAGATTATCTTGGACACGCCAGGTATTGAATTTGTGACTTGATTGTGCACTGACTAATTTATTAATTGCTGCATGTTTCCTTAATGATGTTCTTAATGGTGCCACAATACCTTTGCTCTTGCTATATGCTAGTTACATGGATACTTCTCTGAAAATTTTTAGTAAGACGGATCCCATTCTTGAGAAACTGAAATTCAAAATTACACAAGCAGGAATCTCATTCCAACATTACCAGTTGGAAAAAAAAAATGTATAATTTTTGATGCAAAAACATTTGATACAAATAAATACAAAATGATTAAGAAAAAAACAACTTTGCTTAAATGCAAAGTATGGTAGCAAAAAGTAAACAAACTTGTCATGTTCTTTTGAGCTTACACATTTCTAGAGGCTTCCACGGAAGAAAGAGCCTGAAGAACATTCCCTGTTGAGGACTGCAAAAGCCACGCAGGCATGGATGATGTAATTGTGCCTTCACTGGAACTAACAGGAGATTTAGTAGAACTCTGAGTCTAAAAATAAAAATAAAAATTCTCATTGTTCAAATCCAGCAAAGAGGAATTAGACAGAATGTTATCAATCAGTTCTTGGCTTTGAGCAAGGCATTGATACCCTAAGAAATAATTGCAATCCCATAGTACAGTGGTTCCCAACCTTGGGTTGCCCAGGTGTTTTTGGACTACAGTTCCCAGAAGACTTTACCACTGGCTGTGCTGGCTGGGGTGTCTGGGAGTTGCAGTTCAAGAACACCTGGGTTACCCAAGGTTGGGAACCACTGGCATAGAACACTTAGGACAGTATACCAATTGTGTGCCAGAAGCAACAACTCAAACCTTACACAGTCATGATCCTATAAAGATTCAGGTTCTTACAGATGGAGAAATTTTAGACAAAACAACACAGGGGCCTGAATTGCAATGCAGAGCACAAAGGTCACAACGTCATTTACAAAGTGTACAGTGAAGCTAGCACATTCTAAACACAAAAAGGGAAAAACTCATATGAATATTTCTCAAAATCAGTTTGCAGACCAACAGGCACAGTGTTGTTACGCCAGCAGAAAACCCACTAATGTCTGCTCCTGTATGCTTAGCAGTTTAACATACCTTTTAGTTGTAAACTCTTTCTTAAAAATAACTTCAAAGTTTAGCAAGCTCAGCAAATTATCTGTTAGAAGAACAGATTTTTTGCATGTTCTTATAACAGTGTCATAAGATCAACAAGATCAGTCCCACCACCATCCCTCCTGTCACCTTAACAGAGACATGATGGATGCTTGCTATTGGCATTGGGGAATGAAGAGAGGCAGGCCGCACAGTAACACACTAACTGAGAACTTGGGAGTTCCAGGGGCACACCACATCAGCTACCTCACATTGGGAGCACATGCAAAACCCACAAGGGCAGGATATTGAGGAAGAGGAAGGATACTAACGAGAGATGGGGATATTCGTATACGAATACCCCCGCAGAGGTGGAAATAACAATTTCCAATAATGAAATCGCAATTTTGCCGCTGCTGCCGTCTCCACGGTGCCTTCCTATTGCGCCATTGTCTGCAATCGATTACCCAGTCCTGGCAAGAGGCGGGATGACAAGCCTCTCTGCTAGGTCGGAGAGTGGCTAATCCATTGCAGAGAACAGTGTGATAGGAAGCCACTGTGGAGCTGGCGGCAGTGGCGAAATCGTAAGTGGACAGTCCAGATCCATGGGGTCAGACCCTCGTTATTTCCACCTGTAGGGGGATATTTGTATTCATATAGGAATACCCCCATCTCTAATACTGGCAAAAGAGAAAGGAAGGGCCCCACTGCACATGATGAGCACACGTTACCGTTCTAGAAGGGCCCACCAAGGAGGCTAGCCCTTCAAAGGTGGGTCTGTGGGAGGCATGAAGTAGCCAAATTGCAGACCCTTTTGAAGAAGCAGCAGCCTCTGCTTCAAAGGCGGGAACAACCAATAAGAGTAGGGAAGAAAACGCTGAGGCAGATATGGAAGGAAAGTCTGAGGTTGAAGCACTGGGGTGGGGGATCGCATGACTTCTTGGTACCAGCTCTCTGGTACCAGCCTCTAAAACAGGGATGAGACAAGAATGTTCAATATGGGGACAGCACCAACTGACCTGCATCCAGAAAAGGTGTCTACAGCAGAGGCAGAAAGGTGTGAGAGTTCACCAATTGTTGGTGTAAAACTACACAAGGCTAGAGGAGACAAGAAGGAGGCAGCAGTGACAATAGGAGCCAACAGGGTCCTATGACATTGCTCTACCCGTGGATGACTTTGGGGGAGTCACAATTCTACAATACGTACAAAAAATAATTATTGTTTCTAATATCAAAGCAAAAATCCTTACACAAGCGATTTTCAGCAAATGCCAGATTTCTCTCTGCCTTTTTGCTTGCATTTGCATTACTGAGTTGTCAGCCTCTTTGATGTTATTCAGAGCCACTTCAATTTTTGGAAGCAAATCAATAATCTTCTGTTTACAACCCAAGAGTTTGCTGTGATGTAAGCAGAAAAACAACAAACTTAGGTAAAGTTGGACATCAGCTTTCTTTCATCTGAATAGAAGGACGAAAATGTGCATAAAATCTTCTGGAAATAATTGCTGAAGTATATAAGATATATTTTACGTATGCAAATATTATGATTCAGTGTTTTGGAAGCAGTACTTCCAGTATACAGATGAATATCTAAATAGTTCTTCACAAATTAATTACCTGAATGGAGGGCAAAATGGTAATGATTGCACCTGTTCTCTTACTAGGTCCTATTTAGTTTTCCCCTAACCACATTCTGCTTGCTTCCTGCTTTTATCAACATTATTATTACTCCTCCTCTCCTTGCATCCTTGTCTGCCTTTATCCATTGTTCCCTGAAATCACAAATTCTCCGTCACTTCACTTTTTCTTTCATAATCTGATTCTGCATCTTCTTCATACAACTCAGCAGACCCCAGCTTCGAGGAGAAAACTTGTACTGTATCTATTTCTTCCAAAAGCACACTTATTTGTCCATGAAATGTGTTCTCATCCAAAATAGACAACTCACTTCTCTCACATAAACTGTAACATTTATCAAGAGTCTTTTGCTAAACATTTGCTCCTTGGCTGAGACAATTTGATTTCATGGAGACACTATCAACAAAGTTTGATCTTCCAATGACTGATAAGCAGCAACCAATTAAAGTCAATAAATGGCCAGAATCCTACTGTTGACTTATGCTTATACAGTGGTGCCTCGCATAGCGCCAATAAATGGCCAGAATCCTACTGTTCACTTATGCTTATATAAGGAAAATCAAATTTAAGTCTTGGAGGTGAACTCACACTCATTAACGAGGTACCAGTTACATTGATTACAAGCATCTTGTCAGTGAGAGGGCAATTTGCCACTCATTATTCCTTTGCAGATGCATAAATCATAAATATGATTCTTGCCACTGAACAGAAAAGCTAGTCTGCACCATGGTAACAATGGCTACTGAAAGCAGTACGGACTCCAATATTACATGCTGCCAGGTTGCTTCTGATTTATGGCGAACTTAAATGTTAATAGCCTTTGAAAAGTCCTATTATTAACAACCACACTCAGTTCTTGCATACCTTTCTTTTGAGTCAACTTTGGTTTTCCTTTGATTTCAAAATATCATAACATTTTTTTCCAGTGAATGTTATCTTCTCATGATATATTCAAAATATTGTAACTTCAGTACAGTATAGTCATTTTATATGTGATGCGCTGGATAAATTAAGAGTCAGAAAATCTGGATTTGAATTCCTGCTTGACTCTGGAAACTCACTGGGGAAGGACACAGAACTGGCAAAACTGTTCCTTAAATATCTTCCTTATCCTGAAAATCCTATTAGGTCTGCTATAATTCAATTCTGAACTGACGGCACATATGCAACTAACTAACTTTCTGGAAGAACATCATATATCAGGAAAGCTTTCCTTCAACACTATATTTCAAATGAGTCAATTTTTTCCTGTTCGTTTCCTTCAACTTCCAACTCTCACATTCATACACAGTAACAGGGAACATCAAAATATGGAAAATCTTACTCCTGGTCTCTAGTGATACATCGTTACTCTTTAAGATGTTTTCCATTTCTTTTATGAATATCCTTCCAAGACTCATTCTTCTAGTTGCAGTCTCCACTTTGAATGAACAAATTGCACAAAATCTTTAACCATCTCAATTTCTTCATTGCCACCATTCAACTCATGTAATTCTTCCGCAATTATTATTGTCATAATGCTCAACTGCAGACATGTTTTTGCACTTTCTTCTTTCATACCTTTATCAGTAGTTGTTCTAAGACATTACTATTTTCTGCAAGTAAACTGAAGTCACCTGCATATGTTATATTACTGAAGTTCGTTCTTTCAATCCTCCTTCAACTAAATCTCATCCAGCTTTCCATATGAGATCTTCCATATATAACTGAATAGGTACAAACAAATAACTGTCTGATAGCTTTGATAACTGGAATCCATTCTGTTCCTCCATATTCTGTTCCAACACTAGTCTTTTTTTCAGGGTGCAGTTTATACACCAGAATAACCGAGATGACACACATGTCATCTTTTAGAATAATCCATAGCTTTTTGTGATCTAGTCAAAGGTTTTCTTGTAATCTATAAAACATGATTTTCTTTTGAAATTCTGTGTCAGCTTGAGTATAAATATATTTGCAATATTATCTCTAGTGCCACTTCCTCTTCTCAAATATTATTCAACATGTGGCATTTCTCACTCCATATATGATAAAGGAGTTGTAAAATCTTGGCCATCACTTTGCTTGCATAGAAAATTAATACAGTGGTCCTACAGTTACTACAATGTTTGGTATCTCTGTTTTCTTTGAGACTGAATTCTAAGAAATAATGGAACATCTTTTACAAAACTGCTAAACTACTTTTAGTAACTGGAAACAGATTTGAGATATCAAATTCATATATTTAGTGGTTTTATTATTCAAAATAGAAAATGGTTATTCTAGTATTTTTTCAATGTTTGTTATGTGCCATCAAGTTGCTTCCAATCTATGGTATCCCAATAGTATTTTCAAGGTATATGAGACGTTCAAAGGGTGCTTTTGGCATTGCCACATTCCAATGAGTTTCTATGATCAAGTGGGGATTTGAAACCAGATAATTTGAGTCCTAGTCCAACACTTTATCCACAACAAAACACTCACTTTCTGTAATAGCAATAGACAGGGATGAAATTTTACCAATGAAACAGATGAATATGAAGCAGACATTATGATTAAACTCTGTACTGATCTAAATGGAGATAGTCTGACTAGTCAGATCCTCAGCTAAAATGCAGATAAGCACAGTTAACAGAAAGAGAACAGACCTAAGATGTCTGAAGAGTTCTTTGAGCACCCAGTCCTGACTCTGAACTGTCTGGACAATGATCTTCACCATCTCTGCACTGTCACTGTAGGAATGATCTGAAAGGGATACCTGTCATGTGATCAGAATAGTGCTGCAACAACAGGACACAGTTACAGATTCTAAGCGTTTGCTTTCTTGTTGAGCTGAGCAAGACATAGCTAAGTAAACTTAGGAAAACAATTAAGAATATAGGAAATAAATAATGTGCAGGTGATTAAATTGCTCAATATTGCTATTTCTAATAAACTTTTAAATTAAATCTGTGATATATCCATTTCAGCATCCACTTTTCATACTCTTGTGTTTCAAAACTCTGCATTCTGGAGAAGTAAGAGAAGGTGTTACCTGGAGGTCTTCGTTTTAGTTGTTTATAGAGTTCTATAGCTCTTTGTTCGCTGCAAATATATGATAACGTAAAGATTATTTCTACTCCATTCTCTTTCTGCTGCCAAGTGTTACAGTAAATTACATAAAGCTAACTAGCATATTCTAACTAATAAATACTGGTCAAATTCTGTTACTTATGCCCACAAGCACTAGTTCTGGAGGGAAAATGCTTTAAATTAAAATTTTAAAAAAATAACAACAGGCATTATCTGTTGCATACTGAGCTGCACAATCCAGCGGACATCAGCTAATATCTATGGTAATTTTGTAACCTAAGGCAATTTACTTCCAAAAGTTATGCCATCTGCAATACCAGTGGACAATTCCAATAGGATTTTGCCCTCTGTTTTTTTGTTACTTAAACTATCCTTTAAAGTGATAATGAAAATATTTTCACGTTTTATAAAAGAACAACCTTATTCAACCTTTAGAAAATAAAAGTAGTTAATACTTAGCAAAACATCAAGACATGCAAAGGCTACCCAATCTCTCTAGTATGAATTAATCTTGACTCTTAGGCCAAGTTGCCAACTTTTTTTTTAAAACTTAATACTCAAGATTCTCACCCTTTCACTCTCAAATTGTTATCCAACATTCTGAAAATGGATTTTATATTTCCATTAGCTATATATCATTGGGTACCTGGAAAATCAAGACTTCCAGGCTTTTAAAAAAAAAAAATCCTGGTCAAGGAACAAAATCAAGGCCTAGCTGGGTCATCATCCCTGGCTAGTGGAGTATGATATCTGGCTCTCTATGTCTCCATAATTTTTTATTGTCCAAACCTGAACAGTTATTTATTAATTAAAAATATTTTCACCCCGCCTTTCTCCTTAAAAGGACCCGAAGCAGCTTACATAGTTAAAAGACAGTACAGTGGTGCCCCACAAGATGATGTTAATTCATTCCACTGAAATCGCTGTCTTTTGAAAACATCATCTTGCAAAAAGCGTTTCCCCACTGAAATGCATTGAAATCTGTTTAATGCGTTCCAATGGGGAAAAATCGTTGTCATCCAGCGAAAATCACCCATAGGCAAGCCGCTTTGAGAAGCACCAATCAGCTGTTTAAATTGCTGTCTTGCAAAAATCGGTCCTGAAAACACCCATTTTGGGAAGCCGCTGATCAGCTGTTAAAATCGTCGTCTTGCGAAAATTGGCCCCCCAAAAATTCCCGTCTTGCGAAGCACGGACCAAATCATCGTTTTGCGAAAAATGCCCATAGGAAACACTGTTTTGTGAAGCGCTATAGGGATCACAAAACGTCATTGTCATGAGGATTCGTCGTTTTGTGGGGTAATCGTCTAGCGGGGCACCACTGTATTAAAGCTAACAACACTGAGTATACAAATACTAAAGAGGATCAAACAAATATCATTATAAAATAACACAAACAACATCAAAATACATTTAAAACAGTAAGCAGGGGACTCGACTCATGGGACTCACTGGCAAGTTGGACTTTTCACTGGTGACTTGACTCTTACTCAGTTTTGTTTCTCAGACTCGACTCACAACTTGGAACCTACACCTCCCTTTTTTTCTGGGAAAAACTGTTTTTAATAGCAATTCAGACATGAGGCTTGAGACTCGCGTCATGGTACCAACGACTCAGACCCAAAAACCTGCCAACATCTCTGGCACTAAGGTAGGTATGACAGTCCATTAAAAAAAAAACCACTCACTCATTTGTTAACATGCTTCTTACAAAAAAAAATAATACAGGAAATAAACAATGATTTTGTCAAGTTTGTTGCAGACTTTTGTTTGTCAGGTCTACAAGGGCATTTCAATCCTGTCAGAATGTATTAAATGTACAGACTGTCATCTAAGCCCTTTAGAAAAGGCAAACCTCCCTACTAATAAAATGCAAATGGACAAGATACCCACATATACTGAAACCCTTAAAACTCTCCTACTGCAGAACATAAAAAAAAAGTACAAGAAAATCTTCTTTTCTTACAGATTCTCCATGAGATCGCCTTGACGTCGTGCATGGGGGCTCCTCTGTAGTTCTACAATCTCTGTGTGCAAAGCCATGATCTGTTCATCTAGGTAGCCAATATCTGCAGCCTGAAAAAGACACACATACATCTGCATATCAGATTAGAAAAGAATACTGAATTTAGTGTGATTATATTTTCATGGCACCTTGAGTAAAGCAGTCCTCCTTATTGGCTATAATTATTGTTTTGCACAGCTTCACCAGTACACATTAAGTGTCCTAGTGAATCAGACTCAACATCCTTGTTAATATTTGAAAATAAGAATGAGGAGTTGGGAACACTGGCATTGGAAGGGCTGGTCAAAGGCACTACACATTTGTTCCAATTGAAACTGCATTAATCTAGGTTAATTGTGAACTATACAATGAGGGTCTCTTGAAACCCTAAGGAGAAGGTATAGTTTAGCAGAGAAGGCATGTGTATGAGATTTGAACTCCTAAATCAACTGTGAACTCACTATAAGATATTACAACCTGCACCATCCTCACACCTTCTCTACCGGTGTGTGCTGCCACCAAAATGGCAACCATCCCCACAGCATTTTAACTGGTGAACCGGGACTCCTTCTCAATCCTATTACCAAACTAGGCAAATAGTCAGTGTTCCTTTTAAACGGCTGTTCAAGTGCTGACTTTGCACTGCCCTTTTAAAAGAAGTAGGAATGTTTCTGGTAAAACATACAGCCTTAGTTACTTCATAACACTACAAAAATATGTGCCTTGCCCATGATCAGAGGTACGGGTACAATGCCTGGTGACTCCAAACCCCCCCCCCCAAAAACAATAAATGGACCTTGAAAACCAACAAGTTTATTTTTTAAAAATACAAAAGAACAAAAAAAGATTCAGTTAACAGATAAAAATAAACTATATGAACAATGCTCAAACTTTCAGGATCTTTATCATACAGATTTTTCTTTCTTTTTAGCTTAAACACTTCCATTCTTTGTAGACAGACAGATATTGGTATACAGATATAGAGGTAGATGCATGCTGGTTTTGACAAAGGTTCCAACGAGAACACAGTTCTTCACAGCTTCCTCACAAAAACAGATCATTGGCAGCAGCAACCAACAGCACTTTTTTCCCCTTTTCTCCCAAATGTCTCACTCACACACTCTCTTGTATACAAAACAGCACTTCTTCAGTCAAGAAACATATCATCTAACCAACTCACAGTTCCGTTCATGAGCAATTTTTCCATAACTCTCTCAACTTTTAAAACTGTTTCTTCTGAACCACATCCAACCTACAGCTATCAATCAAACCCCAGCCACTCTCAATGTAGGTAAAATAAAGATATAAAAATTTATTTACAGAATGCAAAATTGCCACACACGCACCACAGTCTCTCAATTTCAGATCTCCCTTGACTTACAAGATGCTGTTCATCTAGCTGCTTAGCACGGTTACAAAGATCGCTGTGATAAACTAAGAGTACCAGGGAAAATGCAGTTGTGTGTCTTAAGAACACATCATTTCTAACTGGGGATACTGTGAGCAGTTTAATTCTGTGCTCATCACTTGGAGGTAAAGCCTGCTAAGTTCAGAGAGACTTATTCCCAAGAAAGACTAAGAGTACACTAAGAGTACAACAGATAATTGTTTGTTTGAGTGATTTATAGGCCATCTTTCTCCCAATCGTCGTCGTTTAGTCGTGTCTGACTCTTCGTGACCCCATGGACCAGAGCACGCCAGGCCCTCCTATCTTCCACTGCTTCCCGTAGTTGTGTCAAATTCATCTTGGTTGCTTCGATGACACTGTCCAGCCATCTCATCCTCTGTCGTCCCCTCCTCCTCTTTCTCCCAGTAAGGGGACCCAATTCTAACATGTGCCAGTGGTTATGAGTATAGAAGGAGGACACAGTACTTAGTCTTCTCATAAAAGGTATTTCAGAATTATAGGAAGTTGTATTATAATTAAGAAAAAACCCAAACTTTAATAAGGATGCACTTGAAGTAGTATGTTCCTGTCTTTCACACACTTTCAAGCATCATTTTGATCTCCCATACCTGTTCACACTGTAAGGCTTTTTCCTCCATCTCCTTCCAGGCTTTCAGCATTTTCTCTGAGGCTAAGAAAAAGATATGTGGATCAGCCTAAAGAACCATGAATTCAAAGCAAGAAACACTTTAAACCATTCATATTTTGGAAGCAGCAAATGATGAAAAACACTGGAATTTGGAAACAAACTCCTAATTTTGGAAATCTTTGTTCTATTATGAACGTGGGCTGGGGGGGGCGGTCCTCGATGAACGTAGCATAAAGCTCTAGAATATTCCAGAGGCCTCTGCGCAAGCACAGATTAAACCCATCAGTGTGGATTCACAGAGACCACGAAGAACAACACTGGAATTTGGAAACCAACTCCTAATTTTGAAAATCTTTGTTCCATTATGAAAGCAGCACAATCATCCCGGGTTCAATGGTGTCATTGCTAGCTAGCCCTTCCAGCTAGCTCCTGACCTCCTTCTACATAAACTTACCCACAGGCTCTCAGGATCTGAAGATATCTTTTGTTACTATCTGCCTGCCCTACCACTGTCTTTCCCTGCACCTTCCACACTTTACAAGGAAGGCAAACTAACGTGAAATGGGGGCTGAAAGTGAGCACTATGGACCTGGACTTTCTGAGCTGTCTTGAACTGTTGGGAAGAATGACAGTTTTTCTGACAGTTCTCTAAGAAAGGTTGGAACCGAAACAAGTTAAGATAAGCTAAAAGGAACTCACACATTATTACTTTAGTGCATGTCTTCAGTAACTTATGTTGAAACATTTTTACTAATGACTGTCAAGTTAGCGGGGCTCTTAACAATGAGACTTTTGAAGACCCCTAAGTCACAGAGTTATCTAAAGTAAGGAATAACTTGACAGCACATAATGATGACAATTATCACTGTAGTTTTCACTGTTGAATTAGTTTGGTCATTGGCTGACCAGGGACATTCCTACATTCTAAAAAGATCAGGGTGCAGGCCCACAGTACCAATTCATATCAAGTGTACATATGCCAATCTATATGTTTATCAGAAAATTCAGAACTATTAGAATTTATTTAAATTTCATAAATGTAGCAGATGCCCTTTTCCCCAACAGAAAGCAATTACAACCTGTCTCCCCTCCACAGCAAAGGGATAAGTAAAATTCACACACAGGTGAAAGCTTTGGGATTAATTTTTCAGGGATTAACCACAGACTACAAACAAATCAACAAGCAACTCCACATAAAATGCATTACTTCAACATTTTCCTACATCCTCAATATGAGCAAACAATCACAGTACCCTCGTCCACTATATACCCGATCTGCAGTGCTATTAGCGTGCACAACACAGGTCTTCAAACAAGATCAAGACTTAGATAAAGGTAAAGGTTCCCCTTGACGTTTAGTCTGACTGTAGGGGGCGGTGCTCATCCCCGTTTCCAAGCCACAGAGCCAGCGTTTGTTTGTATACAGTTTCCGTGGTCACGTGGCCAGTACGACTAGACATGGAACACCGATACCTTCCCACCATGGTGGTACCTATTTATCTACTCGCATTTTTACATGCTTTTGAACTGCTAGGTTGGCAGGAGCTGGGACAAGCAACGGGAGCTCACTCCGTCACGTGGATTCGATCTTACAACTGATGGTCTTCCGACCTTGCAGCACAGAGGCTTCTGCGGTTTAACCCGCAGTGCCACCACATCGCACCTGATCAAGACTTAGTGAGCTCCAATTTTTTGCATCAAGTATACTGTATAAACAAGAATATGATTAGGTTGGAGTTTCTGGGAGGCAGGGGTTGGGAGTCTGATTCCCCACTATGTCTCCCAGAAGGGCTGATATGTGTGGTTTTCTGCACACTGAATAGTCACAGAGTGCCACCATAAGGAAGGACTGGTGAACCACTGCTATAACCAGAAAACCCTGGGAAGGGTTGCCAGAAGTCTGAAATGACCATGATGTAATTATTCATTATTTAAAATGAGAATACTTTATGAGCATACTAGAAAAGTATTGGAGCCTGTGCTGAATAAGCAGGTGTTACCTTCTTGGAATTTTGTAGCTCAGCAAACTGCTCCAAAACCACATACAAATCTGCATGCAATAGGGAAACATATGCATATAAATATGTGGTCCTGCATTAAAAGGTGGTAGTGGTAACAAAGAGTGCTTTTGCTTCTGTTTTTCCAGGATCAACCTGACTTCGCTACACTTACACCATGATTACTGCAATCCAGTCTCCATGGAGGTACCCTGAAGAGGGTCTATCTTCACTTGGTGCAATATGTAGCTGCTAAGGTGTGCACTGTATCAATATCATATACATATCCTGATATTAAAAGAGCTTCAGAAGTTGTCAATTGTCTACAGGACCTAATTCAAGGTGCCGTTTTTAACATTTAAAGCCCTAAATAGTTCAGGGCCTGGCTTTCTATGGGGTCACCTGTTGGGGCAGGCCTTAAGATCTTTAGGAGCGATTGGTCCTTTTGAGAATACCAACTGTTCCAAAGACATGCTTGACAGGCAAGTAGGAGCTCTCTCCTGCAAGGCCCCCAGATTGTGGAATGCACTCACTGAGAGCTGCAATCCCTCTAATTACTGTTTATTTATTTATTTTATTTTATTTATTTCTTAAGTTTGTATACCGACCCATTAGTGCAATGCACTATTCTGGAAAGTTCTCAATGAGATAAAAAACATAGTAATCATATATTAAATGGAACAGAACAGTTAAGAATGGTGTGAAGACACAAGTTTTTATGACACTGTTTACTTTGTTACAATTGTAACTGTTTCTATATTTTAATGGGGTTCTTTGGTAATGTTGTTTCATTTCATTTTAATGATTTGTATCATTGAACTAGTTTTTACTTGTTTTTATTTTGTTTTATGCTAAATGTAAACTACTTTTAGGCCTACTTAGTAGTGAAAATACTACTGTAATGTAACAAAATAATAGTACCAATAATAGCAAATGGATACTTCTAGGCATTTTTTTAAAAAATTATGTCTACTTAGATGAAACAGACTTAAGACAGAAACCATTCACAATGGATAAGATACAGCTTGCTTCATATATCCTCACATCTATACAGTTTTTAGGACGCTGACTCCTCCAAATACTTACATATCCCATATGTCATCTGGTCACTATACTTTTCCAAGTCAAGGTGGATGCTCTGTTGAAAGAACTGAAGTTTTGCTTTCAGTTGCTGCGATGCTGATACCATGTTGTTTTTCATTTTTGTTAAATTGGCGTTGTACCTAAGAAGACTCAACCTAGACAATGAAGACAAGTAACTGTTAGTATCTGACTTTTGTCTATGCTCGTTTCTGCTATATCTACACGGACTACACTTGAAGACCCGCTTTGCCCTGTATTACATACACAGTTTTTGAGTAATTAAAACAATCAAATTAAAATACTTTTAAAAAATGGAGTTTAACTTTGTATGGGATATCCAGTGTGATGTAGTGGATAGAGTGATGGACTAGGACTCTGGAAGCCACTTAGCCATTGAAGCTCACTGAGGGTGTGGAACTTGTAAAATCACTCCTTAAATATCTCACTTACCTTAAAAGACCTGTTAGAGTCATTGTAAGTCAGGTCTGACTTGATAGCACATGACAAGAATAAACTTTGTATCCTCTTGAAATTAAAAATCGAGATTGGAGCTTTGTATTCATATCCCTGGGGAAATGAATATGAAATGTGGCACCACAGATGCCATGGAGGTTCATTCCCTCCCCTCAGAACCACCCTGGTCTCCGCACACCATGCGTGTCCATCAACAGCGATATTGCACCAATTATAGAAGTAGCCCAACTGGCTTTGCCCCGCCTTCCTGCACAGCTGACTGCTGAACAGCTAAGCAGGGAGACTCGTCATCCTGCCTCTTTGCCAGAGTGGTCAGCTGCGTGGAGAGGCAGGGCAGTGCCAGCTGGGCTACTTCCGCAATTGGTGCAATGTTGCTGTCGATGGACATGTGCATTGTTTGGAGCCCAGTCAGTGGATCGGTGCCACACTTCGTATTCGTATTCCCAGGGATATATATACGAAGCTCCCATCTCTAATTAAAATGCATTAATCATCATCTTCCTGTTGTATATATCACACCATTGACAGATGCATAGTCCAGTGAGGATGAGTCAGGGCCTCTCGCACACAATATGGTGAGCATCTCAGCTGAGACATCCCAGCTATGGCATGATCTCCTCTTTAATGCCTAACTGGCACTAATAAAGACTTTGTTTTGGTACCAAGTGAAAACCTAACTGATCAACTGAGCATTTGATAATTAAGCAAATAATTGCTTGATCTCAGTCCTGTTTTTCTGGATAACAGAAGGATATGAGGGAGGGAACCCACCTGGATTTCAGGGACTGCATTCTACAACCTGGAAGCAGCCACTGACATTGCCCTCTCTTGCCCATCTCACCGAAAAAGCCTGTGAGGGCAGCAACACTGAAACATGGGCCTCCTCATAAGATTTCAAGGCCCATAGGGGATGATACAGTTCTTTGGAGAGGATCGGTATAAGCTGTACCAGGGTTTTATAGGTTATGACTATGGACGGGATTTTTAGATCACTATGAATGGGAAAACCAAAAAAGAGGCTCCCCCCCCCCCATATTTAAAGCTTTTAAAGCCCCTGGAAAACAACAGCGGGTGCTCTTTTGCTGCTTGGTGGCTGATGTATTCAATCACTGTGCCTTTGAGAGTTCAACCTCCATTTTGGATTTCCTTGCTACTGCTACTGCGGCTGTTTTTTTTCTCTCCACCATTTCACCATGGATTTATATTACACAAACACACATACATGCACACATTGCTGCTACTTCTTCCCAGATTTAGATTACTTCATTATTTTTTTCCTTCTTTTAATTTACCTCCTTGTTTAGCCTTTTTATTTTACCATTTTTTAAAGGTACCCCCTTTAAAAAAAAAACCTTCACCTGGAGAGTGAGACTCTGACTAGACTGGACTGTTACTGTGGCAGGGAGGAGTTCGTTTTCTCAATTTTCATTCTGTTTAGGACTTCAGGGTGGGGCACCTCCCTAGTCATAACAAAGACTTTGAACTAGGTCTCTGAATGGATTGGCAGCCAGTAAAGCTGTTGTAACAGGGCAGTTATATGGTACTTGCAACCAGTGCTAATCAGCAGTCTGGCTGCAGAATTTTGAAGTAGCTGCTGTCAAACACTTTTCAAAGGTAGCACCACATACAGCATGCCTCTGTAATCCAACAGGGATGTGAGTAAGGCATGTGTCACTTAGCCAGATCAGACATCACAACAAATGGATGTAGCTTTCACTGTGCAAGTGTACCCTGGTGGCTTCTGAAAGTTATGCATCCAGGCTGAATCCAGGTGGACACCCAAACAGGAAACCTGACTTTTCATGGTTAGTATAATCCTAGGTAGCATAGGCTGAATCCCTACATGTTGCCTTCAAGATTCATCCCTGGAAAATGTCCCAAAAGGATACCATGGTCGATGGTGCAGAGCCCCATATTGTGTTCCCTGTACAGGTTATTCATTAAGGCAATCGAAGCTGCCACCAACCCATAATCATGCCTGAAGGTGGAGTGAAATGGATCTAGATAATCCGCTTCGTCCAGGAAGCCCTAGAGGCGAAAAGCCACTACACTACAGGTTCGAAGTAGTTATCTCAAAAAAGGAACCTTCTCAGACATTCTTTCCTGATCAGGAGAACACTTCCCCTCCACCTCAAATGACAGAAAACTGCTTGAATGGAGAGGATTGGAAGGGAGAGGGTTGACGCGTTTCTCTTCTATCAAGTTCTAGATCCTTCTGAACTGTGGACTATGTGGACACTTCAGGGAGTTCACAGATACACAAATGTAATCAGAAATACTCTGAAAAGAAGCTGGTAATTTCAGCTTACCTTCAGCTTTGTACATATCGTACACAACACAATTTGTTTTCAACCAAGCTTTATTATCTAAGCAGTTGACTTACATTGCAGCTCTCTGGCCCTGAAACAGCCGGCTGTAATCTTCTTTTAATCCAATGACATAATGCACAGCCTCAGCCCATATCTTACGAAGCTGTACTATGGGAAACTGGGCTTTGCTGTCCTGCACTGTGTGAGAAGCAAAGGGGGAAATATTCATTATTTGAAATTGGAGTATTGGTATTCAAATATGAATATCCCTGCACAGCTGGAGTTAACGAGGGTCCAGCCCCTGGTGTGGACCATCCGCTCAAACGTCCACCGCCACCGCTGGCCCCACTCATCCTTCCAAGTGCTCCCAAGCACCATTCTCTTACCAGTTATCTAGCCACTCCTGGCAGAGGGAAGGAGGACGAGTCTCCCTGCAAGGCTGCCAAGTAGCGCTCCGAAGTGATTGGAAGGAAGAGAGGGGCCGCCACCGCATGTGTGAGCGGACGGTCCAGCCCCATGGGCTGGACTCTCGTTAACTACATGCTGTATGGGGATATGTGTATTTGTATACAAAGACAAATACAGTGGTACCTCGACTTACGAATGTCTCTACCTGCAAACGTTTCAAGTTCGCAAAATGTTGCTTCGACTTGCGAATGGAGCCTCGATTCACAAACGAAAAAAATGAACAAAAACACCCTTTCCTGCCCTTTTTTTGACCCAAGTTCATCTTAGGTCAAAAGAAGAAAAAAATAAAAAAAATCCCCCTAGTGGTAGAGTACAGATTAACTGGCTTTGCATTAGTTCCTATGGGAACTAATGCCTCTACCTACGAACAGCGCTTCAACATACGAACGAAAAACAGCCTGAACGGATTAAATGGTTTTCAGTGCATTCCTATGGGAAATTTTGCCTCGACTTATGAACTTTTTGACATACGAACGCCGTTCCAATACAGATTAAGTTTGTAAGTCAAGGTACCACTGTAACCCCACTTCTACTATCTACATTAGTACAGTATTACAAAAAGCAACCACAGGCTAGAATGGCTATTTAATTATCTCCCCTACTGAGCAGATCAGACACCATAATAAAATTGCTGTTGTAGTGTATGGCCAAAACCAGAGCTGAAATCCTCATTAAATGATAGTGCTGAGGTAATATTTGAGAAAGGGGAAGCAGGACTGGAGGGTAAAAGAGTTACCGCTGCTCAAAGAACTGGACCCAGCAACCAATTATTACAGGAAAACTCTCTCCTAACCTAGGTAACTCTAAATGAGATTTTTTTTTGTTTTTTTGTTTTAAAACTGTGTTAGGAGACTCCCCAATCCTGGTATACAGCTGAACTCCTCTGTTCCATTCTGAAAAACAATCCAGTTAAACAACATGACCTGCTGCTAAAATATCAATCAAAAGCTAAATAAACTGAGGCAAAACTTGTTCATAAAATACTGTCCATGCATGTGGAGAAATTAAAGAAATCCAAAGTGCAATAGTTACACTGACAAGCATGCATAATTTCCCTCCTCTATCAGATGGACAACAACTAGCAAAAATCCCTTGGTTTATCTTCAGGAAGCAAGCAGTAGAATCAGCAATGTAAATTTAAGAAGAAACTACTTATTGGAGACCATTGTATAAATAACATATTTAAAAGAAAATCTATGTAGTCTACAACAGCAAGGTAAACCTGTAGATATGCTGTATATCTAGTTTTGGGACTTCTTACATTTAGAAAAAAAATTAGGAAAAGGTTGTGTGATTTCCAAAACAATACAAATGCAGGAACAGGTGATACCTTTATTAGACTTTCTAAAAGAAAATCAGACAAACAACAAATAGCTAGCTTTTGATGATAATTAATCTTCTTCATGCTGTGCACCCAAGTTCTTGTACATAGTTCCAAAAATTATGTGCTCTTATTAAAGTCCCAAAGTCTCATGAACATTGGTGGGGCCAGGTTTAGCTTCTTGAGATGGATAGAGACGCAATCTGCAAGAGGCCTGTGGGTGTGGCTTCAAATCCCTCCTCAGCCAGTAGTTCAGAATTTATCATCTAACTCTTTAAACAAAAGGCCACCAAGCACTCTGCATCCCCCTCATCTCCCCCTTCCACTTTCTTTTTGAAACTCAAAAGAATTTTTTATTTGGCTAGCTATGGGAAACACGGTAACACAGAAGCGTGGCAAGCTTCCATCTGAGTTGGAATTAGAAATTTAGTCCAATCACCAGAAATGGCCAATTTTAGACAAATTGAAGCCAAACTTTATTAGTGGTCTAATAAAGGTATCACCTGTTCCTGCATGTGTACATTTAATAACTGCATTTTGTAGTATCGATTCACTTATCTACATACACATATTATACCAAGTAGTCAGGCAACTACAAGTAGCCTTTTAGCTTATTGGCAGGGAGCTTCCCTCTGACCTCTTCCACCTTGTCACTCTGTCGCACCTATTTTATCTAGCTTGTTTGCTGGACACTGCTCTGTTGCCTTCTCCCTCATGCTCACATTCTCCTGCCTGCCTGCTGGTTGCTCCCCTTCAAGCTTTGCTGTCTTCTCCCTTTTCCCTGCCACCTCCACTGTCTTGCTTAGTGATGTAAACATGTTAATTTACAGTGCCAGTTGTAGGGGTTGTTAAAAGAGTTTTGAATACTAACAAAAGGCATTAACTAACACCAGAATGGTTGTAGAAAACAGGGATGTAAAGTGAGCCCTTATTAACTGGGAGTCTCCTGGTCAAAGATCCACTTGGTGAGCTGCAGGTGCATATTTGATTTACACACAGCAAGTAACACACAGCAGCTCAGTGCATCCTGGAACGTGCTGCACTCTGAATCCTTTGCAGTACGAAATTATTTACCAGCAGACAACCTAGTGAGGAAGTGTTTTCTAAAGATAGAAAATGTGAAAAAAAAAACAGGTCTAGAAACCTATTTGGCTGTTTTTAACATAAATTACTGAAGTGTGTATCTCGTCAACATCTTTTTGTGACCATCTGACATGAAACAGAAGAAACAGTTTCATGTGCTTCTCTTTCAACAACTACAATCATTCGTTATGCTAATACCAAAGCAGATGCTCCTCAGAAACACAGACTAAAACTAGGCATACTGAATCAATAGGTATCTGATGAGTCAACACATATGCAAGCGCCAGTCTTTCACTGGGTGTACTCTATCAGCAACTTACTCCTGGATTTCTCTCAGAAACACAGACTAAAACTAGAGTAGGCATACTGAATCAATAAGTATCTGATGAGTCAACACGTATGCAAGTGCCAGTCTTTCAATGGGTCTACTCTATCAGCAACTTACTCCTGGATTTCAATCAGTATTTTAGTACTATCATTCTGTAAGTTCTTCTCTACTGGTAATAACATATCATCAAGTCTGAAGCACAGAATACGTACCAATATAATTTACACACTCAGATAGACTCCTAGAAGAAAAAGGACCTTCATATATAGTTTTGCTTTTATCAAATAAGTAAACCATGTAGCTATCCCAGCCTCTCTAGAAAAGAAAACAAAATATAAAATTTTCACAAAAGCTTTGAAGCAAAGATAACATTACAATATATATGTACACAAGAAATATTCCATAGTCATCCTGGGCATAAATGTCAGCCACAAAAAATAAGGACTATGGAGCACTTTATGTGCTTCATCATGGGGTGGATAAGATAAAGATAAGATTTAAAAGCAGCAGGAAGAAATTACCTCTTAGTACTCTAACCCTGGTCCTAAACTATAACCAAAAACAGAATTTTGTACAGAAAAACTTTGTTCTGGTTCAGTTCTTCAGAACAGTTTCAAGGGCTCAAAACTAACACCAAGTGACCGTCTTTTTCACTGGGCCCTGGCTGGTGGATCTTGGGATTCTAACAAAAGAAAAGGAAATGTCATTCCTGAAAATTGACTTTAGCCTGCTCTGCTTTTAAGAGATCCAGGACATTCTTATATAAACTGGTGGAGGGAAGAACAGAGGAAAGAGAAAAGGGAGTGTTAGGTTAATGACAATACTTAAAGAAGGAATTCCATCTCCAAGAAAAAATAAGGAAATAGGAAGAAAGTAAACACAAAAACCTTTGTCACTTTCTCCCTACATATCTAAATACTTCTTACAGATTAAAGCTAAATGCCATCAGACTCAAAAGCAGTTAAAACCTTTCCCTATTGCTGGGCTGAATCAAAGATTCTTCCTTCACAGATTTCGTAGCTCTTCTGAATCTGAAGCCGATGAAACACTGAACCTCAGTTCTCTATCCCCTTTTTTCTCTCAAGTGATGCACTCCAAATATTCCCCCTCTCTGGCTCCTTGCCTGCTTCAAGACTCTTAAAATCCACTGCTTCAGGAAGTGGAAACTTCTATTGCTCATTCTCAGAGAGGAAGGAAATGTAACGTTTAATTTGGGAACCCTAAACTGAGATTCCAGACTAGCTGTGATGTTGTCCACTCAAATTAAAATGCCCATGGTGGTGATTATTAAAGCATCTATAGTTTTCTATATACTATACAATGATTTAAAAACTCAATTTTCCTTACTCAGTGGGACAGGGACAGGAAGAGAAGCAAATAGTCAGACATTGCTTCCTCATAAAATAATACACAGTGGTGCCTTGACTTACAACAGTCCCTACTTACGACCATTTCGACTTACAACCAGCTCTGGTCGTAAAATTTTGCTACTTGCGACCAGACCTTCCAGGAATGAACAGAAAAAGGCAGGGAAAAAAGGCCGGAAATTCAAATTGCTAACTGTAGGTGGTGACAAGGCTGCTTCTTTGCATCTCTTTTGCCCCAGCAGTTAGAATGTGTGCGATCCAAGGAGTCTGCCTGCTTTATGCTTTTTAAAAACTGTTCTGGGTGGGTTTTGCAGCATGGTTTTGGGCTGGGGGGGGATGTTTCTGTGCTGTGTTTTTGGTGATTTTTTTGCAGCCCCAGCACCAGGGCTTTTTGTTGTTGTTGTTGCTGCTGCTGCTGCTCTTGTTGTTGTTTGAGTTCCAGCACCTTCAGGCTTGCTTGGCTGTTTATCTTGATTTTTTTTTAAAAAAGCCTCAGCACCTTCCAACGCTTGCTACGTATGTGCTTTATTTATTTAATTTTGGGTTGTTGTTTTTTGCCGGAACGGATTAATCACGTTCCAATGCATTTCAATGGGAAACGGTGCTTTGACTTACAACCATTTTGAGTTACGACCATCTTCTGGAACGGATTATGGTTGTAAGTTGAGGCACCACTGGAAGTGATTAATCAGTGAGACTTAAAGAACAATGAGGGAGATACTTTTTGGAAAGAGGCTGCCACATTGCACCTTGCCTCTACTGAGATGAAATTAGCCCAGCTATCTTCTCTCTCCAAACAGGATCTGATCTGTTAAGCCCACAAAGTTGCTCTGTGTTACAACAGCTAGAACTAGAAAGACTGAAACTGTAGCTAAAGAAGAAATCTCTTCCTTAAATTAAAAGCATCTCTTAAAATTAAACTTTTGTGCTATCTGCTGACTCGAGGACGGCAGAGAGAGATGCAGATTTTCTGCTGCAATCTTTTTACTCATTTAGAGAATTTGTTTCTCATCATTCTGCATTACTTACTCCATTAGTTAAAAAGAAAAGAACCTTATGTATTTTCTCAGTAGAAAAACTAAGCACACAAGGTAAGAGGAAAAAACTGCTCATTCATTTCCGGCTATAACTGACGCGGTACTTCTGCATGTGACTGGTCTAAATGGGACTGTTCAAAGAAGGTCATGTGAAAAACAAAAACTTAGGTCAAAATCCATCCAAATGAATGGAGCTTGTTAAATCAACACTTTCATACTTAATTCAATTGTCTGCTACTCTAACTGGGACTAACAACTGGATTTACTGGGTAGTAGTACTAGCAGTAATAAACAGGGAAAGTTAACCTTTGCCATGGACTAAATCTGTCAGGGCTTATCATTCCACTAAAAGGAAAAACCCATATGAAGAAAAGGATACAACTACTAGCCGGCCATATATCAGGATATGAAATCAATGAAGATAAAATATTTATGACTGCGACATCTTATGAACATGGATTTGTATACACAAAAAGTTGGATATGAACTATGATAGTTTGGTATGGATTATTAAGTGAAAACCTCAGCTTGGATTCACATGTACCAACATCCCATTTGTAGGAATTGAAAAGGAAATCTTACTACGCCATCAATAACACACTGAGAGGCCGGCTTCCGTGGGTCTAGGCAGATTCCCATCTCAAGGAGGAGCTCTTGGTTTCCTGTGCTTATTCCAGTCTCAGATTCAATACGAGACTGAAGTGAATGGAGACTTTCCTCAGGATGCAATGAACAAGACAAGATGTTGGCAGAAGTCATATTTAAGATGTGAACTATCTAAAAGGAAACACACATAAAGGTCTGATTTGTTGGAAGGAACGAGAGAGAACACAATGGTTTATTGCTATCCAACAATGCTAAAGAGTTCATTTTCGAAAGATTAATTTCTTCAACTACCATGTGTAAAAAGCTAAATAAAACAAAACTGTTGGGAGTCAAACAGTGCCACTCACTAATAATCTAAAAGCTTCTATTTCCCTCTGCATACACAAAATGAAAGTGTTGTTAATGCTATAAAACCAGAATTAATACTCTGATTTAGGCATGCAACAAAAGTACTTTGCCGCAGCAAAGTTAAAAATGAAACCAGTTTGCTACCTCATTAAAAAGGTTGCATATTTAACTGGTATTTTAAATCCAAGTAGACCATACCAGAACATACCTTCAAGCCCAAGATTTGATCCATTAACTGGAAGCACCTGAACCTGCCAGTTTCTGGGTCTATACCGCCCCCTCTTTGTTGTGGATCCCAGTTTAGCATCAGTTGTAGCCAACTCTCCATCATTTCTACAATTATACTGCCAATAAACAAACAAACAAAAACTTAAAGCGTACTAGGCAACTTTCATTTTTAAAGGCAGAATTTTAGAAATCATTTTATTAAACAGACAATCAATTACTAGTCTAACAATATGCATTACTGAATGACAGTACCATAATATTATCTCATTCAGTACACTGGGGAAACAATAGAACCTTGTGTAAGATTAAGAAATACAATACTAAATAGTCTTGATAAAAAATTCAGAAAGACTACATTTGCACATAATGCTAAACTATGCCTTACCATGATTATTATTTCTTAAATCTAGTCATGAAATAACTTGCAGATGATCAACAAAAGGACTAGTTTACAATTACTTGTAACTACAGCTCTTTGAGTGGTAATCTGTGAATTCACATTAATGGATTGTTCTGCATCTGCGTAGATAGCCTTTGAATCTTCCAAAGCCGAGAAAAAAGCTGCTAGCCCCACCTTATCACCTAGCACATGCTCCTCCACCTAATGGTTATCCTCAGTTCCCATTTCCATGGCTGTATTAAGGCTAACGCATGATGGGCAGAGGGAAGGTGGGCTGGATTGCGTGAATTTACAAATGATTGCGTAAATTTACAAAGAACTACATCTACAATTAAGTAATCTATCCTCCTTCATCTTGGTCTCTGTGATTCACATTAATGGGTGACTAGCAAACTCACTTACTGGCCAGTGGGGTGTCACACCATTACTGATGAGAGATCTTTGCTCGACTGAAGGAGGCATCAAGATTTTCTCTGACATCCATTCTGTAGTGTTTGATTATTGTCATGGGCTGCCTTACAAATATTATTTGTGGCTGCCTTACAAATATTATTCATCTGTACTCCCTTTAAAAAAGGTGTTGACCTTGCCAGCTGGTATGGTATTATGACCCCTACAAAATACTTAGACAACTTCTGTGAGGAACCATGGTGGACCTGCTGATCAGCCATGATAGCAGACAAATTGCCATTTAGTTTTTTTTTAACTTGGCACATAGAAAGCAAGGGCTCTATGGATATCTAGTGCAGGCAAAGACCTTTCTATATCTGCAGAAGGGGCTGGAAAGAAAAGAAAGATGGTAGCAGGTTAATTAATATGAAAATCAGTTATGACTTTGGGAGGAAAAAAAGATATTATGTCGTAAGGGTTACCAACTGTAGAAAGAGAGGGCTAGCGTAACACTCTTGAGTTCATTTCCCCGTGTGACAGGTGTGAATCTCTTTAATATTTTGTTTTTGAGAAACTGGAATGCCAGTGTGTCTGGTTTCTGATTCATGTCAATGGCTGAGTCATACTGTAGATGTATGACAAAACTTTTTTTTTCAAGTGCAGAAGGAAACGTAGTACTGCGTGTAGTGTCAGAGGATAATCTTCTCCCACAGAGTTGGCAAACATAACAAACTTACCCCATTTGAATCTATAGATTTTCTTTGTGGGAGCCTTCCTGGCTTGGATCAGTATTCTTTGGGTAGTTGGTCAGCTCTAGTTCTAATTGCTTTGTCTAATTTTTTTTTCTTGGACTGATGTGTTCTTTGGGCTGGTTCTGTAGATCAAGGTCAACGGCTAGATTGTGGTTTGGCAGATGACTGCTGAGACTCTGGATCATCAAGTCCTAAGATCCCGCTGGTGTCTGGGATGCGGCGCATGAACAGTCGGGTAAATGGTGTTTGTTTATCTCTTCTAAAATGGCTCCTGAAGTATCAATGTTGAGCAGATTTTGGGGCCAGATGCTGTGTGCTAAGAGTCCCTATAAATCTCTGTATCTGTTTTCCTTGACTTGAAGTGTCAGCATTGAGGTGCCTGTGATGTCAAAACTTCCAACCCAGTTTTTCTCTCTGCTTGTTTGACACTGACGTTAGGACAATCTTTTGTAGTAAGCTTCCCCAGTTTTAATTGGCAGAGACACAGTGGTTTTATGGCGGATGGCTGACTGGAATCAGAATCCGACGAGGAGGTCCTTTTGAGCTATGCCATTTCTGAATTGATTGCTGAGAAGGCTTTTTGCCTCTTGTGCTACATGTTCTAGCATCAAAAACCCTGACACTGGAAAACCTGGCATCAAGTCACAGTGTGGAGCCACATGTCCCCTTCTCTGTGCCCTTTGAAAGTCAGCATAGGGTGACGTGCAAGACCAGTATCCTCGTGACATCAGTGTCAGGTAGTTTCACGCTGGTGAATGTATGAAGGATGGGGAAGCACTGGGAGAACTATGTGGAGCTTCATCTCCCTCTGAGAGGGAATCCAGAGAGACTAAGTCTTCTTGTTCTTTTTGCTGACAGGCTACGGGCGATGTAGTCGGAAGGTAGACCACTACTAATGCAAAATATTTCACTTACTTGACTGCAGCCTTAATCTTTTTAGCTGTGCCTTTTTCAAGAGAGGTCACTTATGTCTTCTCCATGTTGACGGGGTCGGTTTCACTGTTGGTGTCAAAATCGTGTATTTTGGAGGTGAGTGTGAAAATCCTGATGTTTGCAGAACTGACTCCTCTTGAGTGTTCAGAGCTGAATCAAGCTGGCTAGACTCCATAAGAGTACAGGGGTCTTGCAAACCAACACTGATAGTTCTGTGGTCTTTCAAAATAGGGTCAATAATGCATAGGGATCTTTCCCAGATATGTTTTTTCTGCAACTTTTGAAAATTTCTTACAAAATTGGCAGGACCGTGTCTCATTACCTACTCCCAAGAGAGTAGAGGCACTTAAGACTGTGTTCTTGCAAGTCTTGACTTTCTTGAATGGGACTATAGATGAAAATCCAATTCTTTTCTACTTCTTTGGGTAAAGGAGAAATATGATAGGGCAATAATGGGCAGGCTAGAGAAGGTAAGGAAGAAACATTTACAAATGTTACCTATAGTCAGGCTCTCGAATGACCACTGAGGTGCTGCTTCAGAGGTGGTCAAAAGGAACTGGAGTTAACCATTAGGTGGAGAACTACGTGATATGGTGGGGCTAACAGCTTTTTTCTAGGCTTGGGAAGATTCCAAGGGCATCTATGCAGGCACAGAACAACCCATTAATGTGAATCACAGAGGCCACGAAGAAGAATCATTAACTTTTTTCGGCCTTTCTTGGTTTCTTTCCTATCATGTGAAATGAAGTGGGTTCTTTGCAAGAATGCCAGCCAGCTCTGCAATGGATTTGTCATTAGAGCTACCGATGACATAACAAATAAGGGAGACGTGACTGAGTGCTTGAGCCCTTCTCATTCCTCTGCCCTTGCCCTTTCCTCATCCTATGAAATTTCTCTCTGCAGCTCCACTCGTGTTGTATCTGTAAGTCTCCAAAGCATGGGAGGTCTTATCCAATTCTTAACCACAGAATACTCTAAATTCAAACCAATAAGCAGAAACCTCAAAATCCATCCGCATGAAGCACCTCGGCACCTGGAGTAATCAGCTAATACAAATGTCTTTGACTTGGCTTCAATCACAGACATACGCTATCCATGCCTGACATTCACAGTATTATGTAATGAGCTATGCGCACAGTATGTGTATGCGTGTGTGTGGGGGGAATTATCCCAAATAAACTATGGACCACATTATCCTTGCCTTAACAAAATCTAGAATTGAGACGTAATACAGGTTGGCTGTAGCAGGAGATATTTAAAAGTCTCCTGACCAAGAAACATATTCCTTAGCATCGGGTCTTGGGACCAGTAAGTGATCCTCCAAGGAAACAAGAAAATGTCAACTTTTATCTCAGAGATGTCATGGAGAATGAAGTGAGCAATAATGACATTATTTTTGCCCTTTTTTGTACAATAGGAAAGGTTTAAACAACTCTGGAATCAATACTCCAAAGTGTCTTGGGATAAAATATGGGATCAGAGAATTATGAAGAACATGTCAGTAAGGATAAAAGAAAATTGTTATAAAGTAATATGGAGGTGGCATTTAACGCTGGTCAAAATGAGTATAATGGATAAAAGTGTGTCAACATTATGTTGGAGGTGTAAAAAAGAGAAGGGGACGTATTTACATATGTGGTAGTTATGTAAAACAGGAAAGAAAGAATGGAATTTAATCTTTAAAGAAATATCTGAAACAATTGAATTGAATATTCAAATGTCTCCATTAATGGCCTTATTGAATGTGATTAAGAAAGATCAATTGTTGAAAGAAAATAAGGATTTAATAGTAATAATGATTACGGCTGCAAGGTTAATATTTGCAAGAAACTGGAGAAATGATAATCAATTTAACTTGGAGGAATGGTATAGAGAATTATGGGACATGGCAATTAATAATAAACTAACATGTGATATGAAAATAAGAAGAGGCCAATTGAAAAATAATGATTTTAAGAAAATATGGAATGTATTTTTGAAACATGTATACCGGAGAGGGACGAAGTATACACCGAGGGAAGAAACAATGAAATTTTGGAGTGAAAATGGATTGAAAGAAGTGTAATGCTAGTCCTGAAGGTGATGGGAGCACATGTGTAATTGTACTTTATTGTTTTGTATTGTTTTTATAGTTTTTTTGTGTGGTAGTAGGTTTTATTTTGTATTAATAAGTAAAATTTATTTTAAAACCGGAGAGGGAAGGGGTATACACCGAGGGAAGAAACAATGAAATTTTGGAGTGAAAATGGATTGAAAGAAGTGTAATGCTAGTCCTGAAGGTGATGGGAGCACATGTGTAATTGTACTTTATTGTTTTGTATTGTTTTTATAGTTTTTTTGTGTGGTAGTAGGTTTTATTTTGTATTAATAAGTAAAATTTATTTTAAAAAAAGGAAAACACCAAAGTGGGGTAGTTTAGTTCTTTGGCATATATGTAATAATGACATCATATTTGGGAGGGGCAAGGGAGGGGTATAAAGGAGGGGTAAGCAATCTTTTTGTCTGCTGAAGATTGTTTGTGGCAGCTGCTCAAAAGACACATTCCAATGGTGGATGAAGCTTGTGCTTCCTCTCTTTCCCAAACATACACAACTATGCACAGACACTGTTTGCCTGCTTCTCTAATAAATACTCATGGCATCTGCCAAAATCACCGGAGAGGTATGTCTTGCCAACTCTCTACTCTAGAACCTCCATGTGACACCTTATTAATAGGTTAGCACTGCAAGATTTTGGCAATTTACGGAAACAAAGAATCAAATATTACCTGCAAAGGCTGTTGGGAATTGGCAAATGTGTACTAAATCTAACTTCCCCAGTCATCTCTTCCCATGCAAATATACATTTTGGATCCTTCTTCTTGATTTTCTCATGCCTATAAAATAACAATAATTAGAATTAACCAGTCATAATCCAAGTTTAACCAACATATTATGGACAAAAACATACTACATCTAAGACACCTATGCACAGACACACTCTCTTTTACTGTTTGCCTGCTTCTCTAATAAATACCTCATGGCATCTGCCAATATCACCAGAGAGGTATGTCTTGCCAACTCTCTATCTAGAACCTCCATGTGACACCTTATTAATAGGTTAGCACTGCAAGATTTTGGCAATTTACGGAAACAAAGAATCAAATATTACCTGCAAAGGCTGTTGGGAATTGGCAAATGTGTACTAAATCTAACTTCCCCAGTCATCTCTTCCCATGCAAATATACATTTTGGATCCTTCTTCTTGATTTTCTCATGCCTATAAAACAATAATAATTAGAATTAACCAGTCATAATCCAAGTTTAACCAACGTATTATGGACAAAAACATACTACATCTAAGACACTATACAATTACAGTGCAATAAAACAACTGTCCTGATAGGCTAATACTGCCTGAATCGGTTCATACATGGAAGGAGGGCTTGCAACGAAAACTGTTCTTTCTTCTTTTTGTCTTCCTGCCCAGTGAGTCTAATACATGTGCTACACATCTATTTTTGCTAATTGTTCTTTGGGGGCAGGGAAGCCTGTTCAGTAACCTTGAAAATACATATATGTTTAGAAAACAGAGTTATTTATCTAACTAGAACTTCTATAGACAAGAAAGATCTAATGGCCCATTTGGTTGCAGAAAGAAATCTCTTACCAGGTAAAAGGCTGTTGATTATGTAAAAATGGTCTAAATCCTGTAATGCACTCGAAGACCACCGTTCCAAAGCTCCAAAAGTCTACAGAAGTTGTATAGGGTTTATTATCAAAGAGTTCTGGTGCCTTAAACAAAAAAGTAGCAAAGTGCAGTAAGTATCAAGAAACTACAGAGAACAGTTTATTGTATTATGGAGGAATTGAACATGTGGGGGGGACTTCAGAGGTTCCTTACTGCAACTCTTATCTTCAAGATCTTACCAGATACTGTAAGGTTCCAACAAAAGATGTACATAAGCTTCCTTGATCCAAGTCCTTGGCATATCCCAGATCTATTATTTTGTGAACTATCTGGAAATAAAATCAAAAGCAAGATATTCATTTAGGGTATGTTACATTTCTACCGCTTTCAACAGTTTTCTTCACTTGTGTTTAAAAGGCTCACATTTTAGGTCTTCAAAATTAAATTTATTTATATAATTTCTAGACCATTTCTGACTTCCTGCTACCAAGCTGGTATGAACAGCTTGTTCCCACAAATATTCCTTAGTAACCTTTAGAGTCCAGTGCTTTCTTTGTTCCGTGTCGTCTCTGTTTTAATTCTCTTCTCTCCCACTTTGACAAATCCAGTCATGGCTCTAAGTATATACCAAACTGTCTTCTGACTCCCAGTGTTACCATTCACTTTTTTTTCTTTTCTACATCTAAGCATCTCCTTAAGATATCTGCCAGAATCTTAATTGCTTAATTGTTTTCCAGCTTCAACACTGGTATCAGCCTCTCTGTTACCATGCAATCTAAGATTTATCCCTGATTTCTCCTTTCACTCACTTTTTATTTATCTGAAAGTTTATGATTTATTATTATCTCCCCCTTTAGTCTATAGAATGCAAGATTTCAATTTCCTAATAAATTTGTAAGAAAATAACTGTAATCAGTTTTTAAAACTTGACTAGTATAATGACAGTTCCCCATTTCTATACTGACTTTTAATTTTGCATTCAGTAGTCTACAATCAGGATCAATAATTTATGAGTTGCTTTTACTAGTCACTTAAACTGTGATTGTTCTATACAACTCTTACTATTTATCCCAGAATCTCATAAACATATAATTGCTACTAGAGCATGAACCAGGTACTTGTTTATATTTATTCTGACTTATTTGTCTAATTCTTTGTCTGCACTGACTAGTTCACACATTTCCCTTTCCTTCCACCTTCACAAGAGCAACGCTGGAAACATCCATACACCACCTCCTAAACAATACGAACAGCCCATCACAGAATAAAGACCGAATGTTTGGATAATCCAACCTTCACTCACCTTCCCACCTTCATCCTGAAGAACAATATTTTCAGGTTTTAAGTCTCTATGTATGATTCTGTTTTCATGTAAATACTGGATACCAGACCCTGTTAATTCATGTTGAGAAATATGTATTTAAAAGAAACGAGGAACAGTCTCCATTTTAATATCTTCAGAGTATCAAAAGAAAACACAAAAGTCAACCTCAGAATTCAGAACTGTGTTCATGCTTATCAAAGCTTACTGCCCTCACAATTTTGAGTTCGCAAGATGACAATGTGATTTCAAAATGGAAAATTAAGCAGTACTGTTATCCATGTTCTCAGCATTCCTAGAGGTGACTCTAGAGTCTAGATGAAACAGACATGTTCTCCCTTATATCTCAATTCAACATGCCAACAACTTAAGCTTTAAAATCCTCACTCCCTCTTTCACGCCCTTTCCTTCTCACCCACCTTTTTCCTAAAATCTTCCTTTACAGAGGTCTGAAGATCTCAACTGTGTGCACTTGCTTCTGTGCCTTTTTGCTTGACCTAACAAAATATCGCTACAAAATGGATTTAAGACTTTTTCTTAGGGTCAACATGGTTAACACCTTATGTAAATATATGGTATGTAAGATTTAAAATTTTAAGGTGTTTATAGAGTGAGACATTTAAACCATCCATAGCAGGAGATAACACTGTAACTGAAGATTTGTGTTACAGAAATCTGGAGGGGGGGGGTCAGTTTCATCATATTCCTGTCCACATTCAGCATTGTTTTGCTTCTCTGGCTTACAGAGAACTATGCTGTGATTTGTACATCTGAAACCTGTTGCACTTCGACTTAAGCTTGAGCAGACATGTCAAGAATTGAGCCATACGTTTAAGGAGGGCACATTTAGACTGGTAAAAGTCACTTCTATCCATTCTGCTTGGATCCTATCTGCCAGGCCTCCTTAGCCTTTCCCAGTGCTAGAATTTGGATCCTGACATCTTTCCTGAAAATTTGGCCTCTGGGCCAAATATATCCCAATCCCCAGTTTAGAACTTGTTCTGTTACCAACTTTACCATGTTAACTACCAGTGGTCCATTTCAAGTGAAATTCAAAATTAAATTGGTATAAACATGTCACCCAGTGCCTAAAAAACCAAATTCTTCCCTACTCCACCCTTTTATCTTGTTAGCTTTTACTCTGTTTTCTACATCCCTTTTAATGGCTTCACCCTGCTCTGAATTTATGGAAATTTAATCCAATATGTGACACTTCTTCATTCCAGCCCATGGCAAATATGTTCTCAAGCAGCTGGATCCAAAATATAGTTAAGTTCTAATAGGACAATCAGAAGCAACTAAATATGTCATAAAGTAATCCTTATAAAATTAAAATTATTTAAGCACTGAGTGCATAGTTTTTAAAATACAAATTTGATGACAAAATGAATAATATGAATATCTTGGGGGTGGGTGGGGAACTGTCATGAAAGTATGAAAGAGAGCAGCTAACATACCAATGTCACTAAGAAGGGAAAGTATTTGGCTCTCCTTAAGACCGCAGCAATTTTCAGGTAAGTTCAACAGCTAAAAAAAAAAATCATTTTGAAAATTTAGTATTAATAATAGCCAGTATCAACAGACATACTTCAAAGGGACAAATATTTTGTGAGGAAGCAACTGTTTATAAACAGAATAATCACATGGAGGTTGCTAAATATAAAAAATAATAATCTTCACTAATCCAAGAGACATACCACAAACCCATGTTTTTTGCAAATCAAAAACAATCACAGCTATTACTAGCCTTCCTTCCAACCAGGTGTTCTGACGCCACGCAGGAATGGACTTTGGTTTCCTGGGCAACAGTTATCAGCAGATGTTCATCTGCACTACCCCTTCCTCCTCTAACCACCCCTCTTCTCTCTTTAGCCACTCATTTTACACAAATATGGTCCAACATAACACCCTACTATCAAAAGAAAAAGAGAAACATTTTAATGTCATGAGCTGCCTTTTGTTTTGTTTTGTAAAAACTTTGTTACTTTAGATAGAAGAAAACATTCCATTTAAAGCCAGTCAATTCATGAATAAGTTCTCTCTCTCCTTCTCTCTCCCCATCAGCTTTCCTTTACTTCAGTTCAGCGTGTCAAGACTCCTAGACTGGACAACCGAACAGAGATAACCTACAAGAGGGACACTGTCACACTCACCTGCCAGGGCACATGTGTCAAAGTTAGAAATTGTGTATGAATAAAGTTTTAAATGATTAAAGGGGTATAACAATTGTAACCATAGAAATGTCATCATAAAATTGAGGTTTAAATTGCAACAGACTATCAGCTATACGTTACTTCCAACAAAGAGATACTTTTGCTAGAGTAGCAAAATACACGTAAAAGGCTATGGGCTCCGCAAGGTTAGTAAAACACACTATAAGTCAATCAAATCTGCTTCATTGAAGCCTGTTTACATTTTCCTTATGAGACAGAGGTTTATAGCAAAGGCTAATCTACCATTGCAGAGACTATTGGATTTTTTTATTGGTCTTGCTACCTATGTGGATTGCAATTTAGACAGGAATGTATCAACAAACATTGTGGAATACAGTATAAACATCATATTCTTATAAAAGGGCTACTACAACATATGCATAGATGCCAGGGGCAGGAGAAATCAAGCAACATGTAGCAACAGTAGCATAAAGGCAGAAGCTGACAATACATATGGTCATGGAAATCACGGATTTTTCTCCACAGGTCTGAACTGACAGATGGCTAAGTAAGCAGATAGAGAACCCATTGTTTTTCACATATGTTTCTGAATATGCTAAGTAAAGTATTTCTATTTTTATAAATTTTTGCTTTCTAAAAGAATATGCCTTTCATGGTTATAAGCACCAATATTTTTAGATTAAAATAAAATTTAAGTCTTTGTCTATGACTAGAGATGGGGTTATTTGTATAGAAATATGAATATCCCCTCCACAGGTGCAGATAACAAGGGTCTGGGGCCAGACCAACCACTCACAATTCCGCCACTGCAGCGAGCTCCTCGGTGCCTTCCTATCGCTCAGCTGCTCGCGATGGATTAGCCACTCCTGGCAGAAGGCAGGATGACGAGCCTCTCTGCCAGGTCGCAGAGTGGCTAATTCATCGCAAGCAACGGAGAGATAGGAAGGCATTGCGGAGCCTGCAGCAGCGGCAGACTGGTGAGTGGATCATCTGTCACCATGGGGCTGGACCCACGTTATCTGCACCTGTGGGGGGATATTCATATTTGTATACGAATACCCCCATCTCTATGACTTTTGTAGCTAAAAGCTTATAACTTAAACAGATCTTTCTGACTTGCTGTATTTTTCCATGTATACGACTATACTTTAAAATGTTTAAAATCTTTAGACTAAAAATTGAGTGTCGTCTTATACACGGAAGCAAGCTTAGGAGAGAACAAAAACAATTGGAGGGGAAAGCAGGGATCAAAGTGATCCTGCAAGCCTTTGATCCCTGCTTTCCCCTCCACTTGCTAAGCCTTAACAAAAGGAAAGCAGGGATCAAAGCACTGCAGGATCACTTTGATCCCTGCTCTGCCCTCTGCTTCCTAAGTCCCATCAAAGCAATCCCTTGGATGTATAAAGGGGAAAGGGATCAAAACGATTGTGCAGTCGCAGGATGGCTTTGATCCCTTCGCCGTCCTTTTGCTAAGTGCCACTTAGATATTTTAATTTTGGATTAGAAAAGTGGGGGCATCTTATACATAGAGGCGTCTTATACACAGAAAAATACAGTAAGTACCTGCCTACAACTTAAGTTCAATCTTCATACTTTTTAAGCATTTCTGCCTACCGTTGATTTATAGTTATAAGACCAGTTTTTGAAGATTCTTGTGGCACAGTGTTTAAACTGCAATACTGCAGCCAAAACTCTGCTCAGCATCTAGGTCCAGTCCCAGGTAGCTGGCTCAAGATTCACTCAGCCTTCCATCCTTCGAAGGTCAGTAAACTGAGTATCCAGCTCACTGGAGAGGGGGGCAATGTGTAGCCTGCATAATTAAAATTCTAAACTGCCCAGAGAGTGCTTTAAGTGCTGTGGGGAAGTATATAAGCAGCATGCTTTTAGCTTTTTTTTTTCACCAACATGCCTATGACTTCTCAGAAGTTACATCTCATTATATGCATATGGAACAAAGATACAATTTAGATAAGTAAAGTTTGTAGAATTAGACAAGCCAATGTTGCCTGGAATCATTTCAATAATGACACAACTTATATCCTGATACCCCAATAAACTTCGATATAATTGAAACAGTTATCTGATCTCTGAAGAACTTGGTGCTTAGGTTATTTAAGCAGCCCAGGGGATTATTGCATTTTAAATTGATTGATTGATTGATTGACTGACTGACTGACTGACTGACTGACTGACTGACTGACTGATGTGATTTATATACTGCTCATCTGGCAGCCAGAGCCACTCTGGGCAGTTTACAATAGTACCAAACCATAAAATAACAAAATAATTCAACATCAGAGTTAAAGTGCAAATTAAAATATCATAAATAAAGTGAAGGACAAAGTGAAAAAAGACAATACATACAATTAATATAATTAATAGCATAAAATATGGTGGCATACAAATTAGTGCATTATTGGAGATACTGTTGCATCACTAGTTGTTTACTCCTGGAAAGCCTGTCTGAACAGCCAGGTCTTTAATAACTTTTTATAGGTGCCTAGTGAGGGAGCCAGGCGAACGTCAGACAGAAGGGTACTCCACAATTGTGAGGCAACTGCCAAGAAGGCCTTGATTTCTGGTGGTTGTTTTCCGGGCCTCTCTCGGGGTCGAAAATCTCAGGCGCCCTGCCTGTGACGATCTTACTGGATGGGCAGACCTAACTGGAAGGAGGCACTTGGCCAGATATCGAGGTCCCAAACCGTTTGTGATTGGTAGACTAGAGGGCAGCCTGTGCCTGTGCCAAGTATCTCCAGCCTTGATCTGCCAAACTGTTGGTGCCCTTCCCTTTCCCTAACCAGCAAACTACAACCCATGCCTCCATCTCTCTACCTGTATTGCAACAATTACAAATACTGTAGTGTGTCAGTTTAGTACTCTGTTATTGGTAGGTTAAATCTCACACTGAACTGACCAGACACAGTTGTCTTCTTGTGCCAATGTGGTCCCATTGTCTCCCCTCTCTCTTTTCTGCCACAGCACAGACAAGTGTGCTTAAAGTTTCTTTGTGAGAGTTTCAAATCTGCTTTTATCATCATCACCTTGTGAATTTGGAGAAGAAGACAATAACATTTCATGGTTGGTTTTTTTCTTTTTACTTTACTCAAGAGTACATTTGGACCACACTGGCTCTACTATGTCTGGCTGCAGAGATCCATCCTTCTTCCAATAACACAGCTGGCAAGGGGGACTCATGATTCGCTTTTTCTCCTATTCTCCTTTAGTTGCTCTGACCTGTTTTATGCCAATTCCAGAGAATCAGACCAACACGTTATCTTGGTGATTATGAGTTATGACATGCAGAAAACTGAAGTGTTAATGTGTGTTTTGTTGTGTACAGTAATATGGAACATGGTGGTAGTGGATTTTACTCATGGAAGAAATAATCACCTTAACATGTTCTCATAATGACTCATTTTCTGCTACCAACACTTTAGTCTACTCTATCATACTGAAAGGGTCCTGCATAGAAGAGGTAGCACTGTTAAGAACACAACTGTCAAAATTATAAGCACCGTGATGAGGTTAAGGATAAATGTGATTGCCCAAGGGGAGGAACTTAACCATTACCAAAGCAGGATGAGTGTACCACAGAGAGAGTCTCTGGGTCTTTGAAAGCAGGAAGATGGCTGATGCATACTCTTCTTGCTGTAAAGAAAGATCTGGCTGCCAAGATGATTGTCACTTGCAGCACTAGGTGATATACTCTTGGAAAAGGTCTAGAACTATCCTGTCCCAGTGCAAAGTGCTTGCTGTACTAGCTCAAGCCAAGCAATAGCCATCAGAACTTATGAATGGCTTGCTCTGAAAGATCATGCCACTGGGAGCTATGGGAAATCCACTTAGCAATTCCTCCATATGTATGGAACACTACCCCCACACCTACTACGGACCAAATAACTTTTTTTAACAGTTCTGTGACCTAGGTCATTCTGTCTCACATGCTTGACAAGTTTCCTAACTACAGTGGTGCCCCGCATGACGACGATAATCCGTTCCATTAAAATCGCTGTACAGCAAAATCGTCGTCATGCAAAAAAACCCCACCAAGAACAGAAAGAGGTGCTTCGGGTTTTCCAAAGAAGTGTGATATGTTTGTTTAGCAAGGGAAAAATAATTCCCCCTTTCATAGAAAGTTTACGGCCATTGTTGGGGTTGGGGCAAAAAGGAAGGGAGGACTGCATAACCAATTGAGAACAGAAGGTTATTTTCTATTGATGTCCTGGCATTGTAAGAGATTTACTTCTGGGGAATAAGCATCCAGAATGGGAAGCTGGAAGAGAAAAACTCCCTTCTAAGCTGTCATAATGCAAAAGAAACAAAGAGTTCTGAAAGACTGGCTTCTTATGCTTTGTTCTGGGAGGGGATGTAGCAATGTTTTTCTCAAACCGCAACCACTGAAAGCCAGAGCTTGAGAAATCGCTGTGCTCTGTTTTGAAATAGTCCAATTACAGGAATGTTACTGACTGGCTACTACTACAACAGTGCTGCAGTCCCATGAAGCAGTTTGGGATATTGGGAACAAGTTATAAGCCATATCAAGAAGCAAATAAACCAGAGAGAGGAAATTTGAGGCTTAAGCAGCAAACCATAGTAAACATAAAATACATCTTACTGTGGTACTCAAGCATGCTCACTGATAACTCACAACTGCCTGATATAAATACAAAATAAATTTCATTGGCTTTTCCCAATATTGTAAACAGGTAAACAATCAACCAGCATTTCAGTATTACTTCTATTTGCATTCAGCCTGCAGTGTTAATTATGAGCTTTCTTTTTCAAACAAGAATTCTTTGCTAATTTAAAAGGATGTTTCTTCATCTGGATTGCAGTAGAAGAGACAGGCATTACCTTCCTCAGATCTCCTCTGGAACAATATTCCATTGCCAACAGCGGAACATCATTAACAAGAAAATTCATCTCCTCAGGCACTTCATAAGCTTTTACAATATTAGGATGGTTCAGCCTAAAGAAATAGAGGGAAGAAGAAGGACACAATCAGAAAATGCTTAAAACTAAATATAATCCTGCCCATCTGGATAACTGGAATTTCTGTGGTATGAAGACTTCTTTTGAAATGGGAATAAACCAAATGAAACCAAGACTGACTAGTATATAACAACTCAAAGTGTTAAAGTTGATTTTCTGTGAAGGACCAAATACAGGAGACAAAACCAAAGAAGAAAAGGCTGCCACAGAGAGTAACGAGGTGGACTACGTTTGGCTTGCAGACCACATATGTAACCCTCAATGTGCCTCCTAGCATGTCAAGTCATAAACCCGCCTTTAAAATAAATACAACCATCCCGCCCACAAAAAAAACATCATTACAACATGTGACACACTTGCACAGGGTGCTAACAGAGTTGAGAAGGGCCGGGTTGACAGCAAACCCCAAGAAGTGTAAAATAGCGCTACCTAAAGTAGAATACCTGGGGTTCAAAGTGGGCAATGGAGAAATACAGCCTCAAGAAGAAAAGGTCACCAAGATAACTCAGTGGTACCGTCCATACACCAAGAGGGAGGTACAACAATTCCTATGGCTAGTCAGGTAACTATAGCGAATTTGTGCCCCGGTTATCCACCCTGGCAGCCCCTTTGTCAGACCTCACCAGAAAGAGAGCATCACAGTGGGTACAATGGGGGGAACCACAAGAGAAGGTGTTCCAGACCCTTAAATCAATTTTGTGTGAGCTCCCCACCAGGTTTGCCCCAGATTTCCATTTACCCTTTGTCCTGTTCATTGATGCTTCCGACCTGGGTCTGGGGGTGTGTTGGCTCAGATGTGGAACGGAGTAGAGTATCCAGTCTTATACCTGAGTCGCAAGTTCACGCCCAAAGAGAGAAAATATGCAGTTATTGAAAAGGAAGCCCTAGCCATTTGGTGGGCGACTCATGTTCTTAGATATTATTTGCTAGGTGCCCCCTTTACTCTGGTGACTGACCATGCTCCCCTCCAGTGGTCAGTCCAGATGAAGGATACCAATCCTCGTCTCACACATTGGTACCTTGCGCTCCAACCCTTTGCTTTCACTGTATAGTACAGGAAAGGGAAGGAGCATGCTAACGTAGATTATTTCTCTCAGCAGGGTCCCTGGGCGAAGAGCGAGGCAGAGTGGACAGCCTCTTAGATGGTGGGGTATGTAAAACCGGAGGTGAGAGCAAGGTGCCTCTCACGGGAGTGCCGTCCCTCCGGCCTACTGTTGAAAAAGAGAGCCAAACCCTGCCAATTTCCCCACGCAGGAAGACAAGACCACCTGGACCAGACCCGGGGAGGATAGAAGGGATTTGAAAGGATTAACGGTCTAGACTGGTTTGGCGGTAAAGGAGCAAAAAGTGTGGGTAGTAGTGGAGACAGGATTAGCGGATATAAAAGGCAATGGATGAGAACTTCCCTCAGGCTGGGAGTGGATGTGGGTAGAAGATTCGCGGACTGGAGAGGTGGAGAAGCTAAGAATCCCTAAAGAAGAAGCTGATGGCAGAAGGAGACGAGAGAGTAACCCCAAACCGTCATACTGGGGTGAAAGTGAGACTAAGGAGTGGAGGAGGAAGTTGAAGGAGGAAAAGGAGACGGTTGAGAGAGAAAGGGGGGAGAGATTAGAATGGAGGATTTGGGAGAAGAAAAGGAGACAGTTGAAAGGAGGGAGAGATTAGATGGAGGATTTGGGAGATGCACCAGACAGGAGGACCCTGGCAGACAATCAATCCCACCCAAGAGCTTGCCTGGGTGAACAACCGAGACGAAGATGCAATCCCCTTATTGGAGGGGGACAATGGATCATTATTAAACACAGGTGTATCTCTGGACTGGCTGGGACCCTGGAACGTTCAAGAGGGAAAACCGTTCAAAGTTGATGAGGGGAAACCCTTGTCAGACTCATTGTCTGACAGGGAGAAGGGTTGGAATACGTTTGCTGACACTGGGTTTTTGTTAAATAAAACAATAAATGTTACTCAAATGTTATTTCAAAACCGTGCAAGTCTGGTGATTTATTCGGAGCAAGTTAGAAGCCAGGAAGCGAACCCTCACAAGCACCTTCATGACTGACTGAGAAGCTTTTTCTCTGATGATATTATCTAGACTCATACGAAAGAGTCACTAATGACATTCCAATATTAGCCTAGACCAATTCATGCAACAGGTTTGCTTTTTGTACACCACTGTGGAACTACACAATGGACAGTCAAATGAGTCCTTTCCAGCTCTGCAGTTCTTAGATGATGACTATTGTATGGCAGAAGCCAAAAGACAGCTACATGCACTTATTGTTTCCAGCTTCCATCCAGAACACACTACAAAGTCCACTGCTGACAGACCTATGACACAAACAGATTTGTATGGACTTCTCAGACACAGTTTCTCAATTTGAGGATTTAAATATGGCATTTCTGTGGCTTCAGTGCACACCAGGTGAGGTTAAAACAACAACAGATGAACAGGAGGACTAGTCTGCTAGTCAGTAACAATCTTTTTAGGACAAATCTAGAACAGATAGCAACAAAATTCTATTTTTTGTACCCTATAGTTCCCAATTATAACTCAAATCTATCACCAGCTATCTATATCCTACCACTGACAATGACACTTCTCTGTATGGGAAGTCTACAGATGCATATAGTTGCACAACAACAACAAAAATTACCACCAGCAACAATGGAGCTCACAGCAGAGATCTGGGAAGTCTACAGATGCATATGGATAGTTGCACAACAACAACAAAAATTACTACCAGCAACAATGGAGCTCACAGCAGAGATGCTGACAAAGGAGCCAGACCCTGTTGTCAATCCAGATGCAACCTGAAACACTGTTATAAGATGTAATAATATAATCTACAATATCACAAGTTCACAACCTACTCAGTTTCCAATGTGACATACATATGCCAATGCCCCACAGCATTTCACACAGGAGAAATGTATGAGTCCCTACATGAAAAAATAAATGGGTACAAACAAGACCTAGAAATAATAGTATTAAAGATCAGTGGCAAGACACTTCAGTCTCGCCGGACAGTCTCTCAGATCTCAACATATACAGCAACAGGTTCAATACTACTCCTATTGTCTGGAATAGAGACAATGCCTTTTTATATCACTATATATTTTCATCAGCTATTGAATGCAAATTTGTCCAGATTACCATGTTTTATGATAATCATTTTGACAATTCTCTCAATCTACAATTTTAACATAGCTGTTTCTTCTATGCCTTCTAATTTCATTCTTGAATAACTGCAGAAAAATGCAGAAGATGAGGTCTTCAGCACTAAACACAAGTGGTAAGATCCACTCTTCTTGCTCTAAAGAGATGAGGGAAATTCTGCTTATGCCTAATAAACATAATGAGTCTTCCTCCCCCTACACATTGATCAAGTGAACTGAGCTAGTAGAAATCATGTAACTGTAGACAGGACTGCCCTGCAAATCTGCAGTTTGTAGATTATTATATTGTCAAAGCCTGCATTTCATTTCAGCTCTTCCATCACTGCTAGTGATGATCATATAAAGAGATTTATATGATCTGAAGAGAACCCACAATATAAAGAGAAGAGCTGCTAGTGAGATTGTGGTGAATTTTTATTCAGATAGAAGTTAAGGTTCAAGAAGAGTGCATGAGCAAAATAAAGATTTCACATTTTGAATGATGAACAGGGTTGGTCTGAACCTCCTTACTTTGAAGTTAATGAAAGCTTTAGCCTTTATTTTTACTCTTTAAACCAAAGGTGTCCCCCCCCCCTTTGGAGAATTTTCCTTCTGGAACAGGGTTAGTCTGAACCTCCTTACTTTAAAGTTAACGTAAGCTTCAGCCTTTATTTTATTCTTTAAACCAAAGGTGTTCCCCCCCCCCCTTTGGAGAATTTTCCTTCTTTTAAAACAGAACACAAGAGATTTCAATGGTGGGGAAAGAAAGCTTATCTTCTCTAAACAAATTAAAATAATATTTTTGAAGTATTTTAAAAACAAACAGAGCAAAATGCCAACAGCAATAAAACATTAGACTCCCCATCCGGGATCTTCAGAAGATGCTGGCCACAGAGACTGGCGAAACGTTAGGAAGAACCACTTTCAGAACACGGCCAAGAAGCCCGAAAAACCCACAACAACCAAAGCTTGTCTTCTCTAAACAAATTAATATTATTAATAATATTTTTCATTTTAAAAACAAACAGAGCACAATGTCAACAGCAATAAAACATTAGACTCCCCATCTTCTGTCAAACAGATGGATCTCCAAGGAATCCCCAAGAAACAGGCAGTTAGCATTTAAGCTTTTCTCTCAGAGCAGGGGCATCCAGAGTGTTACCCTCTGGACTTGTGTGGGGCCCCCCAGCATCTCCACCCCCCAAATTTTCAAAAGGGCAGCAAACTTTGAAAACATTTGATCAAAAAGCCCCCTTCTGTTCTCTGGAAATATAGGGGGCATTTCTGTCATATTTTATCCTTCAAGAAATCCTGGAGCCCCCCCATTCCAAAACAGGAAACAAGATTTTCTTCTGACCACTGTATGACATGAGGAGACTTTTTCTGTAAAATGGTATTTCTAAAAGAAAAATACTGGAGAGACAACCATCCAAGATAGAACTTGCCAATCAAATCAAATAAACAAATCTGCATACAAGGTGTTACTCAAAAAATCTGTTCCTCTCCTGAATAGCAGATAATTTTGTTATCTGTGGTAGCTGTGAAATATGCTGTTCAAATTGCCCCCCCAAATAATACCTTCCTGTATCAGATGTTGCACCAAAAGCTAATCTTATTGAAGGAGGGATTTAAAAACCCACAGTATTTACCCCATAAGTACCACTATCCACTGTTTACTTAGGTAAAAGGCACAAGCAGAGACATCAAGATCATATAACGTGTCAGACTCTGAGGTAGAATTGCAGCATCAGTGAATAAACACTGCAATAAAACTGTACCAGAAAGAAAAAGAGTAGATCCCTCTATTAGTTTAGGGGAGAAAAAAGTATACCAGGAGGATGATTTCTATGGTCATAATTACAATACAAGCAGTGGCTCCCAGAATTTACACTTTTATCAGTTGAGAATTTACTGTATCATATATGCACAACTCTAACTGACAGTGTGTTTTTCAGGCTCCTCCCCATAAAAGAAATTTATATAGCCAGATGCACGTATATGCGTGTATATATTAACAAAATTATTTCTGCTGTCCAGCAACCCTACCCGAGATGTTGCCCTACTCAGTGGTGCCTTGTTCTGATGGTGCTCTGGGACCCAAGGTTCCACAGGTCGCAGGGCATATAACCTCATCAGTCACACAGACTCTGGATCATTTGGCTGGTCCCTCTTCTAGGACGTACAGGAGAGACTGAAGCTCCTAATGTCTTGCTCTTCGGCCTGGTGCGCCAACCCACTGAGCTATGCCATCCATTTCTCTCTCTCTCTCTCGCACACACACACCACTTCCACAGAGAAAAATATGTTCTTTTAAAAATATTATCATATCATGAGGAGAAAAACTTACTTCTTCATTATCTGGATTTCATGGCACCATCGATCTTTGTTTTTCACACTTAGCTCCAGGCGACATGACTTGATTGCTATTTTAGTACCTAAATCCTACGAGACAAAGCACTGCATTAGCACAGGTGGTCACAGTGGTAACCACAATATCTTCCACTAGCAGATATTGTCTAAGAAGGTACTTTTGTAGGATAACTCAAAGCCACAGCTAGAGGGAAGTCAGCTCTCCTCTCAAACAGGCAGTGGAGCCATGGTGGCAAAACACCCTGGGAAGCCCTTTTCTACTCCTTGGCCACTTTTTCTCCCCTCCTTGGCTACCACCACTTTTTCTTTTTCATTCAGTCTTGCCTCACCTCACCTCACACCATATTTGTGCTTGCAATCTCTTCCTCCTGGATGGATGGAAGAGGAAGCTACAGGCCAAACTTCTCCCAATGCCTGAGACAGAAGGAAAAGAGTGGCTAATAATACTGCCTCACACTTCACCTTTTTCTCCTCCAACCCCTGTCCCTCCCCTGGTGACAGTGAGGCGTACAGAACTGTGTTCCTTTTTCTTCTCTTCCCTGCCAGTTCCCTCCAGAGTCAAGCAGCAGAGCATGGAAAGAGGGGGCAAACTGCACCCCCTCCTCTGCTTCCTGCAGCCACTGCTCCCCAACCTTTCTTTTCCCACCATTTCTCTCCATTTCTCTTCCCCCTGCCTAAGTACAGAATAGCCTCCCCTTCCACCTCCTGCTCAGCCCCCCTCCCTTCCCTACGTGGTGCATCTGACCACTCTCTACCTACCCTCTGAAAGGTATAGGGGAGTGGAGAAGGGCCCCCCCACAACTCCACTTTTCCTGCTGGCTCCTTCC